CGTCTTGATTATGACTTGCATCGTTGCAAGGAATTGCATTAGTGAGCATAGCCCCGCTGCTGAGCAGGACCAGGACGTATCCAAAAGCAAGATTGCAGCAGCTCGAATATGATGAGCAATTTTCCATATGCACCATGCTGCATTATGCATCATGCAACACGCCGGAAATGCCTGCTGCCTTTCAATGGTGACATTTGGCCGCGCCCTGGCAACCCGCGCTTAATCGATTGACCTTCCAGGTGGCAAGCCCTGCTAAGCATCCCCTGCTGCAGCACATGCACATCGATGGAGAAAACACAAACCAATCCACCCGGTCCGCGCCCAGCTCGCTGATTACCTGAGCCGGCATCACTGGCCTGATCGCCGCCTGTTGCCTGGAGGGCGATCAGCCACCTCCCGCCGTCTGCCCACCTCCGCTTCTCCCACGACCGCAACACTCTTGGGCAATTTCTGCAGGTGCCGCGCGGCACTGCCAGCCCCTCCCCACAGTGCGCACCAGCGATGCGCGTACTGTGCCCAGCGCCGCACAGTCGCCCGAACGGCCGCATCCCAAAGGCGAGACACCCGTTACAAGCCCGTTGCCGCTAACGACCTTCGCGCAGCCGAGAAGACGCCGGCGTGGAGCGTGGCGAGGCCACGAAGAGCAGGGGACATTGGCGGTTGGCTAGCCGAAGGGTTCTGGGGTGGCGGCCGACACTTCAGGCGAATATCTCAGCGCTGAGTACGTTGCAGTGGGCAATGTGTGCATGACATTGTCGGTGCATAGGGGCGACGACGTCATTCGTGGCCCCGTTAACCAACTCCAACACACCACAGCACGGTGCACAGATCACACGCCACAGATCGTGCCGTGGTGTGTCAGAGCGCATGTTCTCTGCAGCCCCTTTTTTGCCAACCCCCTTCCTTCAGTGCCAGGCCGCATCGTCGCGTGGGGCCGCGCAGGTGCTGCCTGTTGAGAGTGAGCAACGAACTGTCGAGAGCAGGCAGAGGTCCTTGCCAGCGCCGGCAGCTTTTTGCGGCCTTTATTGGCTCTTAGGTAGTTTGCGTCTGAGCTTATGATGCACAAACTAGCAAGGGACCTGAAGCTTTCATCCATCGGCTTATAGAGCAAATTGGAAGTCTCAGACGTCGAGTATATGTCTGGGCAATTCCTTGGATTCCAGTTGTCAAAAGTAACGAAGAAAGTCCTTGCACCCTGCCGGCGATGAATGGGACATATGTATGACAATCACATAGCTGCAGCATGGTGAAAATTGAACCATGCCACATGCAAGACTTGAGTTCCTATGTTGGGATTCAGCCTTTCATCGCCGTCTGGCTGTCAGGCAAATTTCATCCAGGTGGGACAGGTTGTCGAAAGAATTACACACGCAGACCCACTTCCACATCACTGGCGTTGGCCACAGTTCTGAAACAGGAAACTACACAATCTTTATATTAGTCATCTATCAGTTCTGCACTGGTGCAAAAGTGCAAAGTTCTAACGTCAGTCATCCGTTAGTGCTGCACAAGTCCAAACGTAGATAAGACAATGACTGCATCCATTTCCATTCCCAGCCCAGGAGTCCAATCATATACCAAGCTCGGCCCTTGCAACATAATCCACCAGCCTTGGTTGCCAAACGCTCGATGATCGTCCACCTTGGCACAGACCGATGGTGGAACACCTTAGCGCAAAACAATGGAACGCGTAGAACTCCAGTGAATGCAGTCATCGCTATGCATGGCTGTTCAGTACAGAGTAGATCCTTTCCTGAACGCCTCCTTCGAATGCAAGGACCTCTCAGAGGCACATTATTTGCCTGCAATTACCTTACAAAGTATCACGAATCTGACTTCAACCGTCTTCCAGAAGCAGGTTTGCCATAGCTCACAGCTTCCCCTACCACAATGCGCAACCACTTCCACAGCCACTGCTGTGCATTTGTCAGTGCTGTACAACAATACACCTCCCACAGGAGGGTTATCTATTCACACTGAAGTGTTCAGTTAAAATAGGGAACAATTCCCTCCTTGCCTTCCTTGCCCAGATGCTGCATTTATGTTTCCCCTTCAAAATTCCAGAGCTTTCCCAAATCAGGACCTCTTTTCAAAACATTTTCTCAGCTGGGTTATCCACTCGTACTATTGCTCTCAGCTTGAATGGAGATCTAACGATTCCCTCCTTGCCAACATTCTGCAATCTGTATTGCCACCAGGGTTCGGGTCGTTCTTTGCAGTGCTCTCCAATGGACATCTCCACAAGCATAAGCCCACAATGAATATACCCTATCTCTCCATGAGAAGCATGTGCACCCTCTTTGGCTTGAGAAGCGACAACCTACCTCCTAATGTAATTGAAGCAACTGCTGTTGCAAATATAAACAGCAGCAGAATCATTGTTCAGTTTTCCTCCAGGAGGCCGTCCAGCATCCCGCTCAGTGTAGTCCTGGAGGCGTTGGAACACCCAGCTTGCAATGGTCTTCGACATATCTGGGTAGTGTGCGGCGATCAGTCCTTAAGCACCAGCGACATGACATCTGCAATGCAAACCAGCCCAATGCTGTTGTCCACCACAGATTACAACCAACTCAACCTGCGTGCAAACTAATACCACATTCTACTGTGGTGACAACAAAACTTATACACAACAGTTGCACAGCAGAGATCGACAATTGCAATATGCAAATCTCACATGGTAAAACCTATATGCTGTCTTCCAACACCTCGTCATGGGGTCCAACGCCAGCATCAATGCAGCAAGTGGCTTACCACGATCCACCTTGATAACCTCCTGTGAGTGAGAGCTCGCATGCAGCCCATGCATTCTTGGAGAATGGGGTTGGGGAGGCAAAGAAAATTCGAAGAGGCCTATCTTGTTCGCACGCTGTGGCACCGTCTGACCACCCCAATTGTGGGCATCGCCCTGGCCAGGGAAATCATATGTCAACACCAAGTTCAACAGACAACATGTGAAATTCTCCATGAAATTGTGGACCAGGTGTGTAGTGGCTGGTTGTGCTGTAAGCTGACTCAAGCCAGCCTGGCGATACCGGTATGCTTCAACAGTGTTGCAGCCCTGCCCAACTTAGCCTTGCTGGTGACCAGAGCATCCTGCATCCATCAGCTATCATTGTGAACAGAGAACGTGCATGCCGCCCGAGATGCAGGGGTGTGACCGTTGTCGTCAGAATCGTCACATCCCTTTGCACCACAGAGACTATGGAGCTACTGTCAGTGTGTACAATAGTGGGGGCAAGATGATCACAGCTCTGCCTGTGGCCAGCCACCACCTGCAGCAAGATTAGACTCAGAATCAGCCCACACAGAGCATGACGACCCTCTGGCCACTCTTTTATTCACCCGGGGGGCGGGGGATCTGGGGAAGTTCATTGGACACAGTTGGCAACCGCTGATATGCGCTAGTGACCGGGTACCACAGAGGCAACTGGCCCTCTCCCGCCGGCGAGAGTCGCAGCAAACGGAGAAAGGGAGTGCTGCGTCGATACCTTCGTGGTTCAGCCCCACGCCGCCCGCCCGACCAGGCGGCGGCATGTGGACGTTGGACGGGATGCGGGCCGTCCAGTTTTGGGGCATGGATATTTCGGAACGAGGAGGGAGCGCATGGGCCCGCATGCGCACTGCGACGTCATCGAGCGACCGGACGGCCAACGCCTTCGAGCGACGCTGGTCCGCGACGCTGCGCCACACACAAGGGCGGCGAGGTCGTCAGCGACGCTCCCCTTCCCCTCCTCCTCGGAGAAGGGGCCGGCCGCAGGGAACGCGACCGCCCATTCGCGGCACCTTCCCGCCGTCAGAGGGCCACCAATCCAAGCCGGCCATTCCCATTTGGCTGCCCCGCCCCTCGACGGTACCTTGGCCAGCGGCGCCAATACGCCCCCAAGGCCTCCCCCGTCCCCCGACGCTGCCGTGTGTGCCCCAAGATCCGGCCGCCGCGGTCTCAGTCCTCGTGCTCATGGTCCGAGTCCTCCTGCCCCTCGTTGGGCGCCCCGTCGCCGGTGATCGGTCCCACGGCCTCCGCGGCCCGCCTGGACACCGTCTGGTTGGTAAGTTCAGCCGACAGGATGACGATCCAGAAGATGAACACGATCGCCAGCAGCAGGAGGGTGGGTTCCATCTGCGGCGGGCTCCGCGGCGGCAGCGCGGCGGCGCTGAGCCTCGAGCGGGGGGGCTGGAGGCGCCGCCGGGTGCCTGGGGTGCCATGCCAGACCGCGGCGCCCGCGGTCCCCAGTGCAGTGACGGAAGTGGGTGATGTATGTCGCAAGGGAGCCCAGGTGCCAATGGGGCCGTCACCCACGCGCGCGACACAAGGGGGGCCGGGACCGACATGTCATCGTACCCGTTGCTTACACCCCACCCGCCTAGTACAAGGCCGCCCCAGTCAATCACCGGGAAGCATCAGATACGAGGGGCTTCCGGCCGCGAGGGCTGCTGTGGCGGGCTGGCGCTCGCGGGCCTTCCGAGTAAGGGTGCCCAAGGGTCCAATGTCCAAAAAGCGGGGCCGGAGCCATTTTGCCAATTTTTGCCATTTTTTTGATGTTTTGGCAGTTGCGGAATTTGCGCACAGGGCATCTTCGGGGCAGGTCGGTTGGGTGCGGGCGACTGTGAGCGATGGAGTCTCCGAGCGGGTGGCTCGCCGCCTTCGCGGCGGTCGTTCTGGCGCTGCTTCTGGGCGGCCTGGGCGCCCTTTTGCTGGTGGCGGTGCGCAGCGGGCAGGAGCAGGCCAAGCGGGAAGAGGGGGGAGGGGAGGATGTCCCCACGGAAGGCTCAGGTGGTGGAGGCGCGCGGGTACGGAAACAATCGCGTGCTGAAGCGTTCAGCGCCTGGAATGTGGGCCTTTCTGTGGTCCCCCATGGAGTTGTTGGACTGGCATCCCAAGGCTTCTGCTCTGGACGTCTGATTGGCCGGCGCAATGAATGAAATGCGGATCAGTGCACGAGCCGGCGTTTTCCGCACAGGGCAACAGGCCAGCGCCGCCGCCCCGCAGAGGCAACAGACGAATCTTTACGTGCAGCGTACCCCTGTGCTGTGTGCTTCTCTGCGGCGCACTGCAGAAGCCATAAAGATTGAGCGTTAGAGACTTGCTTTGCGCGTCACACGCAATATTGCGTGCAATTTCCATCACCACTCCGCACTCACCGCCGGGGGACGTTCGAGGCACGCTGTGATGCTGGTGTGCGAACTCTGGCTCTTTCGATCCGATTGAGCTCATGTGTCGTTCAAGCGCTTCGTCTTGATGTCGATCGGTGTCCGAAAATAGGGTGCTGGACTGCAGCACTTTACGGCTGAATTTTTCACACTCACATCCGAAAAACAAGCTTTGTCGCTGCATCTTGCGGGCAAAGATGATTTCCACCCAAATGGCCGTACAATTGATTCAATTGAACTTGATTCAGTTGTGACAAATTTGGAGGTGCCCTGGACGGGATCCACCCACTTCCCTTGATGCCCACCAACTTCACAATGGTGCAGAGAAGGCATACAGCATCCTGAACTGGGCTTTGCTCTCCGGTTGCTACCTGGGTGAGATGTTAAGCAAAGCGAGTTTCAGGAGCGTACGACCCCGGCTGCCATTGACCCTGTGCCCTGACACCCTGTCGAGAAAAACTTCTCCTTTGGCAGGAGCGAGGGCGTGCAAACGCGGCACGAAGCCGTTTGCGTGAAAGGCTTCGACAGAGGAGGCAAAGGGCGCGGGATGACAGTGATGGTGAGCAGGAGGACGGCCATGGCGATGATGGTGGAGAGCCCCAAGCGGTGGGATGCAGAAACCCAAGCTCAGATATCCTTTGTTGGATACCAACAGAGTTGTGCTGGTAATTTCCATGTGAATAAGACACATACAGTTAAGACACATACAGTTGTTGACACCCCTTTCAGAAACTTATTTCCTTGCTCTCAAGAGAGGAGACACCAGCTCCCAGAGCGGTTTGGTATGCTTCTCTTGGGATAGGATGGCTTGGCCGTGCTGTTGCCAGCTGCTACTGTTGCTACCAGACAGTGAAGTGCTCCATTGTTATTTTGAAACGACTGTTACTCTTGAGCTGTTGTGGGGAATGAGTCTGCCCGTGTGCCATTGGCTGAGTATATGAAGCCTGCGTGCTGCAGATCCTCTTGTTGTTGCAGTGTTCACTGGTTTCTGGACAGTACTGAGAATTATTGCCAACTGGTCATCGCTTAAAATTCCGTTTGGACACAGTTGTCCAAGATGGACAATGTTTCCCTTTGTGTGAATCCATGGTGATGGATGCATGCAATTGTGGATCAAAGAACATTTCGTGCTGATACCAGAGCATACCATAGTTCAGGTAGTCACTATCCATGTTGATTGCTTGAAGACCATATAAAAGGAACACCCTACTTTTATGGAGAATGTTTGAGACACACACAATGTTGAACAGTTTATTTGGTGAGAAAATGGACAGTGAAAAGGCAAGCTGGCAGAGATCGACTCATGCTGCCCTGTGGACATGTGTGGGACTCATTTTTATTGCAAGTGTGGCTGCTTATTCCTTGCTCCTGGGGAGCACGTTGGGCAGATGGACGGGATGAACTCTTGCTTGATTGCCGCCAAATTGTTTTCGCTGATGTGTGAGTGACAAGGCAATCATCTTGCACACATCAGACGATGTTGGCCACTGCTCCCAGCCATGAATGTCTGTTCAGCAGGGAGGTGACTGTGTGCTTGCTGCCCCATTTCGCTTCATGTCTGTTCGATCTTGTTGTGGCTTTTGCAGAGTGTTGTGTGCACATTCCCTGACTTCAGATACACTCTCACATGTCTGGCATCGCTTGATTAATGAAAGGGCAGCAACAAGTTTGGGCAAGTGGAGTCAACAAGCATTCTGTGCTGTTCAATGCGCACAGCCTCCCGTGTTTCATTCATACTGAACGCCCATCCCATTGCCCATTGCAGCGTGTACCCTCGACACGAGAAGAGAGGATCGCTGAACGCCGAAGGGCAGAGCGAGAGGCGCGAGAGGAAGAACGCGAAGCAGAAAGAGTAGCAAGAGAGACAAAAGAGCAAAAACGCAGTGTGAGTGGTGCCTCCATCGACGTTTCTTTGCCATAGTTCGCAATGTCTTCTTTTTCATCCCTTGCGTTGAGATCAGGCTGAGGCATGCCTGTTGTGCTGCCTTTTCACTTCTCTTCAAGGTTTACCACATCTATCCTGCGTGATGGTAGTGTAATCTGCTCTTTGAAATGAGAATTGTGTTAAAGACATGGTAGAAGCAAAGAGATGAAGTAATGATGAGTAACCACCCCATAGGAATCTAATCCTTTTGCATGGTAACTGTACTGAAAGGCACACCAGCACGAGTCTTCGAACAGCATTGGTGTGATTGTGTCAAGCCCGTTGTACTATGCAAATGCTGCGGGCCTCCTTTTAAGCTAACGCCTGTGTATGTGCTTTTGTAAGGCTTATGAGGAACGCCGGGCTCAACGGGAGGAAGAAGCAGAGGAGCGAGAAAGGTTAGAAGAGGAGGAAAGGCAAAGAGCGGCAGAAGAGAGGAGAAAACGAGACGAAGAGGAGGCAGCAAAGTGGTCAGAGTTCATTTCCATTGAGAAGGCTGGAGAGGCAATGGGCCAGGAAGAGGAGGTAGGTGCATGGAAGTGGGTATTAGTGCTGGAGAATTTGCAGGAAGGCAGTGGCATGCCCGTGTTCTGGTGCTGTCCATGGCCCTTGGCTGCCCTGCCTTGATTGCACCACCCATTTCAACACGGTTGCCCCACTCAAAGAGCTTGGTTCTGGTGTTGCATTTCATCTTGATTCTTGCTTGACCGTAGAGTGCAGTGGCAAGAAAGGCAGCCACTCAGGAAACCAGGAAACTATGCCCACACCCCACAGCAGAAGCACGATAGTATTGGAACTGGGCAGACAGTGTGGTATGTGTCCTTGTGTTGTTGCTATTTGATTCAGTCAGTTGTGGCGGTATGTCATGTCTCCATTTCCTGCACTCAGTCCAGCACCGAGCCATATCCCTGTCCATGCCTAACTTTGGATGCGTTTGCACTGAATTGCTCCTGGGCATGCCCTCTGACACACTCCGACGCCCTTGAGCAAGGAGGGTATTTGATTTGAGGCCTTTTCAATATTCTGTTTTTCAGGGTCTGTTGGCCAAGTTTGTGGAAACCATCAAGGAACGGAAGACTGTCGTGTTGGAGGAGCTTGCTTTAGAGTTCCAGATGCGCACCCAAGAGGTCATCCAACGTGTGCAGGATTTGGAGAAGATGGGCAGGATAACTGGAGTGATGGACGACAGGGGAAAGGTGGGTTGGCGTTCTGCAGTTGCACAAGAGCTACAAGGGCCAATGCTGTTTCATGTATTGAGTATGTTGTGAGATATAAGGAGTCCAGCACGTTCGAGACCCACATGTGAGCCAACTTCATTTGGGCAAGTCCCAAAGGACCCACGACCATCTCTGATATGGGCCAGCGGACGGATTGCACGATGTTCCTGACCCCGTCGCACAATGCTGTGGGCAGTCCTCAAAGGTCTGCCAATAGAGTAACAGTGTGTGCTGCAAACCGGCCCATGCAAATCCCTCAACCCCTCATGGCTGAGAGCCATCTTCGACCGCAGGATGCACTGTGGTTTGCTCGTCAGCTTCTGAAGTTTCGAGTGGATAATAGAAGTCAATCGGACATGCATCCAGGAACCTACCTCGTTGGGATCCATGAAATACCACCAACGCACAGCAGCATGAGGGCAGCTGGTGCGATCGTGTGTGGCTTCATCCAGACCAGCCCGTGCTGTGTCTCCTTTCTACATTTTTCCGGAGCTGTCAAAAGCTTGGCGTGTGTGGCAACCCGCTCATGCGGACGGCCCCTTTAATCTGCGCTGAGTGATTGCATCCGCTATGACGGATCATTGAATATGGCAATTTTTGATGTTGATTTGACGTACAAAAGAGTGCCGTTCAAGCTGGTGTGTCTCAATTTGCTGTTACTCATGCGCCACGAAGCATCAACAGTAAAAAGTGCCGTTTCCTTGTCCTTTGCTGGTAGATCTCCAAATGAAGCCACAAGCTTGAAACCAAGCCCCTGAATTGGATTGATGTGGCCAATCTGAACCTATGCGTGCGGCTGTGGCTTGCAGTTCATTTACATTTCCCGGGAAGAGATGCAGAGCGTGGCCAACTTCATCAAGTCAAAGGGACGTGTTGCCATATCGGAACTGGCTCGCCGGAGCAATGCCTTCATCGACTTGGAGACGAAAGCGGCGCAGGGGACAACAGGCGTGGAACTGGACTTGCAGGAGCTGTGTGGCGACCCTGGGAGTGTGCAAGTGGCAGCATGATGCATGGTGGAGAACCAATTTTTAAGCGCTTTTGTTGCCTGTGTGCCCATTGGACATGACACTGGCGGGGGGGCCGCTTTCCACTCCGTGAGCTTCGCTTTCTTTGGCGCCGCCCGCAATGACGACAACAAGCGTGCCGACGCTGAGTGGAAGGACCGCTGGTTGCGTCCAGTGGTATCTTGGCCTGCGCGGAGTCTCTGCTCAACAATCGCCATTCTCGCCTTCCAGTCCATTAATGGATTAATTGAAGCAGTACTGCTTTCTCAATGATTCACAGCAGATCCTGGACACAGAGATGGAACCCAGGACAGCAGGCCGCAGGGTGTGTTGCTGAAACAACGTCCCAAGATCGGATGGCGACCCCACATGCAATGGTTCTGGCTCACGTATCCCCCAGTGCTTGTAAATTTGTGGCTGGCGAGATTGGCAAGGCTGCAAGTGCGATGTGGCCTGCACTGGCCACTGGGATGTAAAATGTGCTGAACGGCTAGTGGCAGTCCACATTCGGAAGCATGGTGCAGAAGCCTTGGCACGTGCTGCCTTGTCACTCGCCTGTCCTTGTTCTGATCGAAACAGGCCAGCAGGTCCATGCGATTCGGAGACAAGGCATGAGTTTCAGTGGATGTCGCATGAACTCCAGCAAATAGCCTGCCCCAGCATCAGATGTTGCTGCACTCAAGTATGTTGGACAGAATGGAAGATTTTGGGGCCCCGGGGGGCAGCTTGCCTTAGAGGCTCCTTGCCTAGAGGTTCCAGCACTGAAATGACTCGTACAGCAGCACGACATATTGGTAGAAGACCGCAACCACCCCGGCAAGCGGACCATCAATATCCGCCATCCAACGTCGCAATTCAGCTGCCATGCTAATGCAGAAGAGGGTTCTTATTGTTGCAGAAATAGTTTGGGGATTTGGGGGATGAGCCCTGAACTGACGTCTGTATTCCACGTGTCCACACTGGGCCTCGAGCGACTCAAGAGCATAAGAACAATGCCAGGGTTGTTGCAACTTTGCCAGGAAAGGTCATTGCGATGTATCAGGAAACCTGGACCTGGTGACCTTGATGGGTCGATCTGGAACTTATGCATGCCGTCTGCAGCAGTGCCTGGTGCTTTTATGAGGCGCGACTGCGACACATTTGAAAAACTGCCGAGCTTGCCAAATTTGCCCAGCATTGTTCTGTGGTGTGCAACATCAAGATGTCGTGTGTTTCTGTGGCTTCATGCTGCCAATTCCCTTGATTGCTCATCAATTCCTTGCAAATGTATCCCCCCGCAGAATGCAAGGGGAGTGCCGTGGAAGAGTGCAACAGTCCGCAGGCATGTCCAACCATAACGCCAGAGGTCGTTTCAACCCTTTGCCTAAAAGCGGTGTGCAGGCGCACACCGCACATCTTATCATCAGTGCACAACTCATCTGCAACAACTTGCAAGATATAGCGGATTGATCACTTTCCGGCAGCGCAATGCTTGTAGTGTATAAGTGTGGCCACTATCGGTGGTGCCCGGTGCATTGCTGAAAAAACAACTTTGATTTGGATATTTTCGGCGTTCATAAGGCAATAAAAGCAGGTCCCATTGCCGCGCGAACAACGCCCAATGACACATGGTGAGGAAGGCTGCCTTTCTTGCTGCAAAGAGTTTGGCGTAGGAGTTGATCTCAAGTTTCAGATGAACTTTCCACAATTGATTCCATGGAATCCTTGCTGGATACGGGTCTCACATATGAAGGCCGTATGCAGCTGATCCCATTAAATGCGCCTTAGAGTATAATGCGAAATTTCGGATCCGTTACATGCACAAAAAACGTAGGGGCTGAAGTGCGTTTTATTGAGTCCAGCATCCTCTTCCCAGAGCACCATCACAATGTGATGGACAAAAGATGCGCACATTGAAAGAAACTCAAATACTCAAGTAAACGCACCCCCATGATATAAAAGTGTCGCAAGAATGACGTCGTAACAGATAAAAGCTGCTGCGAAGAAGCCATAACCTGGGTCTTTACCTCAGTCCCAAATTGGATTTACCACGTGTACAAAACTCAGAGCGCCAACCCCATTTGATCATAATATGCTAGTGGCATAAAAAACGTCAATTGCTCAGCATCAAACAGAAGTGCAATGGTGTCGTGACGTCATCAAACACCAGTGCAATGATTAAGCCCGTGGGATCACAAGATACTGAAATTGATGATGAGCAAAGCGACATTGCAGCGTTGTGCTCAACAATTTCGGCCCTCACATTGGCAGACAGTCCCGCACAAGAATCTAGACTGCCACAATGATAAGCTGATGATATGAGCGTAGCACTACGTGCAGATGCGCCATGCACTTGAAGCGACGAGGAGCAACCCATTCTTCATGCACGCTCGATGCACTGGAGCAACGTCATGTCAGACGACGTGGATGGCGACCAATGGGCGACACATTTGGACAGCCCTTGGGTGGCCGGCCTCAGGCGCTTCACTCCTCTGAAGCCGATCAAAACTCGTCACGAGAACTTCAGTGGCCGGCCGCCCGTTTTCACGAGTTTGCTTCAAAGCCAACTCTAAGGTACGTTGTTTTGTCCAAATTGAGTTGGTGCATAGATCCGCCTGGCCCAGAATAACGAGAGTGATGGTTTAGGAAGAGTGCCCCCGCGCCCAGGTTGGACGGGCGGGAGGCCATGTGGCAGGGGGCCAAGGGGGGCGAAAAAAAAGAGAAAAAAAATGGGACGTCGGTCAGCCGGTAATAGGGGGTGTGTCCAAGGGGGTGGGATGAGGGGGCCTCCCTTCTCCGGGGCAAGGAAAAGAGGAGGTAGGGTAGGCACCCCTAGATTAGGATGCGGGACACACCCCCGGACAATCGATTCATAGATTTGCGGTCCATAGGGGTGTTCGGCCGGGGGCGGCGGCTGTAGGGATGGAACTTGCGCGTGGTCGGGCAGGAGCCCCCTGTGGGGTGAGTCGGATAGGACGTGACGGCCACAGGCCGTGGGCCCGGCCCACCCGCGGGGGTGGGGTACGGGACAGGGCCCGGTCCACCCAATATGAGTGGAGCACGGGAGCAGGAGGACAAATAGGGGCGACATCCGAGGCTGCCCACGGGTCTAGGACAGCTAGATGCCCCAGCCAGTAAGGGGCAGGATCACAGGCACGTTCTTGCGAAAGCAGCGTGCGGGCCGGGGCCACGATATGGCAGCGCGGCAGGCCCGTGGGCAATAGGCGGCAGCCCTTCCGCGCGCTCGTGCACTTGCTGTTGTATGGACACCCGCGACTTTTGTTCTGGCTGTATTCTTTTGTGTGTGCGGGGGACAGGGGCTATGGGTCACTCCTGCAATGGCCCATAGTGGTAGGCTATCGTTACAGTAGCCTACCACCCCTGTCCCCCGCGGATATTGCATTCCCAGGCGTTCAGGCTCCATTGCCGACCCATGGCAAATGGCAATCGACGGGGGTGATAAGAGCCACAGAAGAGGGCGGATACGCAGATGCTCACCATGCGTGTTGATGGTGGTCGAGGAATGTGGTGGCCAAATCGGTGGATCCAAATCCGCATTCTTTGATGGCTGGCTGAGAGGGGAGGCTTTCAAGAAAGGAGGGTTCTACAAAATGTCATGTCCACCACATTTTCGACATCACGTTTGTGGCGACCACCATCACAGACATGACGATGCATCCACGCGCTGTGGGCAGTGCGTCGTCCAGTGTCCAACGAGTCAAAAGTTTGAGACTCGAATTCCTTGTACTGAACGCAGCGTGTGGAGATCTGGATGGGCAGGCCAAGGGGAATAGCTGGGCACCGGGGGGCAGCAAGCTGCTCCGCTGCCCCCATGTCACGCCTTGGTGCGTCTGACCAACCAAGTCTACTCTTCAAGGCGGTCACTGAAGCAGCCAACCACACAAGGGCCGCCATCTACTTGGCGATCAATATTTAATTTCGCACATTCAATTTTGGACTAACTCCCTTCAGACTGCCTTACTAGAGGATGAGTCCACATGTGGCGCGGACTGCAACAGCAGAAGGCCAGTCCAACATCAATTGAAGTCCGCAGATGTTGTGTACAGTGGCAGCACTCTGTGGGGCGCTTGCCCATCCCAGTGGAGGTGCATGCGATGAGCGTCAATGGCGCTGGTGAGTCTTGCATTGCTGCCCCAGCAATGTTTCAGCACCTGTGTTGCCCAATGCACAATATTTTCCATCCACATTGTTGAGTCACATTGATGGAGAACAAGGTTTGCATACATTCAATAGCCTTCCAGTCACAAATATGCTTCCATGGCACACAGAAGAACTTTCAACACGCATGATCCCATGGACGGCAGGAAGTAAAATGCTCATCCCGAATTCCTCTCTGCTGAAAGGATCTCAAGCTCCGTGATGCACAGAACGCAGGGTCTGCTTGGTGCATATCAGTTCTCGGATGTGCTAGGTATATCAAAGGTACCTTTGTACGTGAAGTTACGCTATGTAGGGCCGAGTGCGGTGCGAATTGCACGTGAAAATGAATATGCCACAATTTTTCTTGAAGGATACCCTGTGGTGGTTTTCTCCGTCCAGTTTAAAATTCGAAGATTGGGATTGATGCACCCAACTGTGAAATGCGAGGTGCACGGAAGCTTGTGCAAGGTGAGAGGAATTTGAGCGCCATGTGCCGTGTGCCACAGGTAAGACCAAGTTGCGGCAAGTGACATGCACAACGCGACGCACATCACCGTCAGGTCATCACCGCCAACGACAACAACGCCTGCAATGGAGGAAAGCTTCACTAGGCGAAGACGCAACACGACATTGAGGCCACAGAAGAATCGTCAGACAACGCGACAAGCGTCATGGAAGGCCACAGGCATCGCCATGCGTCCTGCAATGACGATGCTCCGGCTGGCGTCCATTCTTCGATGGCCTGTTGTGAAGGAACGACAACAAGCAGGCTGCCATGAACTCGGTGAGCCACCGCTTGGAACGCCTCATTGACCTACTGTGACTGGATTGTGGCCTTCTTAGTCTGCGCCCTGTATATGGCGGTGCGCTGTGGCGCGGACTATTGCGTCGATGGGAAGTGGTGCATGGGCTGCCCAAAGACTTACGTGACTAGGGTTCCAGTCTTGATGCACAGTCCAGCGCCACACATGAGACACACTGTGTACAGCTGTCAGCCTCATCTATTTTGGGGTAGCGCAAAAGTGCCTTTTCATGTACTAGTTTCTGACTGCGTTGCTATAACATCACATATTGCCATTGCCGTGGAGATATCATGTGCAACGTATTGTGCCTTTTTTTCTGTTTGTTCCACGCCACCGGTGCAGCACAATGCGACCATTAGGACGCCGCCTGTATACCAAGCAGTCCCAAAAATACGTACAAGTCCGCACATTTTGTTTTCTCAAATTATTTAGTTTGGGGAGGACCAGCAGTAGAAAATTCGATCGTGAACCGTGTACCTCTATTGAGCATTCCTAAAACTTTACATACAACATCTGAGCTCAGCCCTTGAGTCTGAGCGTTACAATGTCTTGCGTTAAGCATTTACTTTTAACGCTAAGGAATGACCGATGGTCAGAAGTCGACAGCAACACCAACCGCCTCGAATTCGGGAGCCTCGACACGGACAACGCACAAAGAGGCTCGCACGAGCCACCCAAGACTCACCAAGGCGCGGGAGCGCCAGGCAAGACAGGCGTGCCATGTGCATTACGCATGGGCACCCACATCATGCACCACTGCAAACTGAAGGCAGAAGATTAAAGGAGCCAACCCTGTTTCGTTGGAGGACGTCATCCCACCCACACTTAGCACTCTCGACACTGGTGAGACCCAGCCACTGCCGCCGCTCTCCTGAATTGCGCCGTTACTTGTCCAACAAGTCAACCTGGCTTTGAAGGTGGATTGCTTTGTGTGGACCCCCGTGGCCCGGACCACAATTTGATTTTGGCCACCAGGCAGCGCCTTCGAAGCTGCTTGAACAGGGTTTTATGTGAAGAAAGCTGAAGCACGAAAGCAGCGCCGTTCAGCTTGCTCATTTGTCCATGACATCTTACCAACAACGTAATGGCTTGACGTCAGCCATGCGGCTGGTGCGAGCGTCACCCAAGTTGGCCAGCCACAAGTCGCTCGCAACTGAATGCACATTTGGCACAGCTGCACAGTTGGGTTGATACAGCTCGTGCAGCTGATTGAAGATTCCATTTTCAAGCTTTGGAACACATGCCTAGGCCTCCAAGGAAGACGTCGTACTTGTGTTTGCAAACAATGTCCTGTGTGAGCACGTATGAGCGCCACCCATAGGGCAATTTTCAAGGATCCCTTGTCGCATGTGGCAGGCCTGCCCCAAGGTTTCCAGGGGCCCTGGAAGCTTCACCGAAGGAGGACAACCAACTGACCCACGCCGACTGCCCTTTGGTCCCACAACCACCTCGGTGGTATGGCACGTGACGTGCCATGGCCGGCATCATCGGAAACCGTCCCAGGGACCAAGTCGAGGAGGGACACACATCTCCAGGGACCAGCTCGCCGCCAATTCTTCTGGATGTGCTTAGGGCAAACAGTGCCGCTTTGTGGACCACCCAGTACCACCTTGTAATGGGCAGGCACTTGCACATTGCCCTTTCCAAAAGTGATTGTCTGTTGTCTTGGACAAGCCTATCCATGCCCGAATCGACACTTGTAGTCGACTTGCCGGGAACCATATGCGCGCGTCTTTGAGCAACGCCATCATGAAATGGTGCAGTCAGTGCCAGATGACGCTTACCTATTGCCGCTTCTTAATATGCTTCTGCGACACAGCACAGCCTACGGCAATGGGCGACTCACAAACATTGACAATGGACATTAAACCGCACATAATCCCTCAAATTCAAACAGTTGTGAATCGGTTGGCGGACCATAATGGGGACTTCTGAGTTCAGACGGTCCCAGAACCTGAAAAGAACGCAAACAGGAAAGCCCCTCCAACTCTTTGCTAGATGGAATTTCCAGAAACGCACCTGGGCTTCAGTCATTTACCGTTGCGCAAGCGCAGGTACAATCAGTTTGTATACATCGCAGCAGAGTGGGGCCGTTGGTGGGTTTGCTGCGTTCATGGTCACCACAGCCTCCCCTGTACGGGTGCCGTTTAGAGTCTTAAAGTGTTGGTCCGTCAACGAGTTGCTGACCACTGCTCGATGCATCCAACCCAATGATTGGCGCCCTTCAAAGGGAAATCGTGCGTCATCTTGTCGTCGCCCATGTTCACTCGTGTCTGACCAGCCCGGTCATCGCTCACTACCTCCGCAGCAGCGAACGCGTCATGAAGAAAACACCTTATACTTGACACACGCAAGGGCATGATTGGCACGATTCCCCACCTCTTGCACATCCTTGAGCAAGAGCGCAGCGTAGATCATGGGCAGCGCCAACGGCATGCTAGTTCAATCGGTCTGTATCTGTGTCCGTCCAATCTATGGCACAGCTCATGCGAACGCGTTGTCTGCTCCCTCCCAGCGTCTGGCACTTTCCCACACAGCAAATCCAGGTCGAGTGATACCGGCCAGCTGGAAACACTTGTGTTCGTCGCCGGCTGGGCTGTGAATCCCCGGAGTGGTTCGCTCCCTATTTATGACCTTCGGCGTCTCTATTCGCTCCACGCTTCACTCACAGGGCGCCCAACTTTTCAGGTGTCGCGACACATGTTGCACGTCCACGAGATGCAGGCCACAGGTCGCAGCCATCAATTCGCCAGAAATAATGTCATTTAGTACGAATATTCTACAATGCGTCTCAATATACGTGTATTTTAAAATTTGCCAAAAGGCGCACATTATTGCATATTTTGGACAAGAACCAGTTACATTTTCCAAGCCTGCATCCAAGCGCATTGGCCACCGTGCTCGTATCACAGCTCATCTAGCACGGATCTCATCAGCTCCTCCTGTCTTTCGTCCATCATGCCGACCACCTGCAGCACGAAGACGCTTCACGGCAGGTGTCAGGATGCATGACTCGTGCTCTTCATTGTGAAACAGTGGCGTAACAGCAGTTGCAGCAGTGCATCCAAAACGTAGTATGGCTAGCACATTGCGCAAGGCACAACATAGTGCAAGGGGCCTGCTGAGCAGATGGCTGAGCCACACGTTGGACAGTGAGTCTCTGTTCACTTCACAAATTCAGGCTCCTTTAAGGCACGTCATTGACGGACCTCTTCGCCCAAGACCTCGTACTCGCTTTGAAGGGTCTCAGCGCGGTGGGCAGCGCGAGCCCTAGCGTGAGACAAGCAAGCAACACCACTTCACACACTGGCGTTCCCTGCCAAAATCACCTGAGCTGATATCATGCGAGACCATATCTATGCAATCGCAATCGCACTTGTATGGTGCACTCCTTAACAATACGTCACCGCGAGAGCGGCGCACCTTCTCGAGCTCGAGGCTGTGCCTGCCATCAACGCAAGCCGCCACGAGGTTAGCCCAAGTTTCTGGCACAGGCCTGATGCGCCTGCGCATCATCTCTTCCACCCAGCGCAGCCCATCTCCCACGTCCCCACTGCTGCATGCAATCGACACCAGCACATGGTAGGTCACCGCGTCTGGGCGCAGGCCGTCCGCCTGCATCTGTCGCAGAAGCCTCTGAAACAGGCAACAGAACAACGTGCACAATCAGTGTCAATTGCTGCTTCCGCTGCCATTCCTGTCTAAATATTACTGATGTGCAAGGAATGGTGCAAAGAGTAGTGGTGTCGTTTTGGTACATTGCTGGTACATTGCTGGTACATTGCTAATGATGCTTAATGTGAGAAATGCATGATTAATGACACAATGAGAGCAACGAGCAAGCATGATAAAGGAAAAGGTCGTGCAATACGCTAGAAAAAACATACCGTATTCGCCCCATGTTAGCGTAGGTATACTGGACCTCCAAAATCAACGGTGGATACTTAGAGTGGTTCATAGACACTACCGTGCTTTAGAACCCTGATCCAAGGTTGCACAAAGAACATTTTGAAGTTAGGCAGCCAAAACGCCCAAAATTGGCATGAAATAATGCAAAATGCAGTGCATAGAAATGCATGTGGCTGACGGCACGCGCTAGGCATAGTTTAGGTGGTGGGATGCAGTTTGTAATCGCTGCTGCGCTGCTGGGTGCGGTGGGAGCCAGTGTGGCTGCCGCTGAGGTGTGCGCCATGCCAAGGATTGTGATGGGAACAGGCAATGCCGGCATGTCTGAAAGGCGACTCCAGGCCTGCCACTGCGCCATGGACGCATGGCACGCCCTTGCTCGAAAAGCAAACAGCCTTCCTTCCAGCAATCGCACACTAGCTGCGAAGCTGTGAGGTGCGCAGACATCCCGCGCATGGGGTCGGCACCACAGCCTGAGCACTTCGCGGCAGTTGTTATGCGTTGAAGGCATGCAACAAGGGTGATGTGCAAACAAAGACGTGCGAACAAGCTTCCTCCCCTCGAGACGAATCCAACGAGCCCTATGAGCTCGTTTCTGCTGAGGTTCGGATGCGGATACTAACACCAGGCCATGGATACTAACGTGGTTTAGAACCCCAGAGAATGGGGTGCATACTAATAGGGGGCGGATACTTACACCGGGCAAATACGGTAGAATCAATTGCAAGGAGATTCAAAACACAGCAGTGCGCGTGCATCGGCTCACAGGGCAAAATAGGCTGGACAGGGAAACGCACGCAATTGAAGCAATAAAGTGTCAGACAAGGGGCCAATAGTAAACTACAATGCTTAGACCAGCGCACGGCGGCAAAGGCAAGCGCATCGAGTCCTTCAGCTGCACCCACGTTGACAGATCATCTCCGGGTACCCACAGCGCAGCGGATACGAACTCAGCACCCACCATTGTGTTGGTGTGTTTCGTAGCACTTTTGTGCTTCAGGCCCACCATCAGGGAGTTGTACGTCTGGACAGTGGCTGGAACGCCCCGCTTGACCATCTGCTCGTGCAGCTTCAGAGCGGCGTCCATCTGAGCCACAGTCACACGACCACAGACTGTTGACTAGCTCACGCAAATTGCCAGATGTCGATGCAACAAAGGCCCCACATTTCCCGCATTTCTGCGACACCCCTCCAGTGCAGGAAGCAGCAGCACCGCCGAGCCTGTGAGGCAGGTCCACGGCATTCTGCAATGCATTTATGCGCTTGCATAACTTTTGCTGTGATACTCGTCCTTCGCAGTGGAACATGGCAACACAAATTTAAACCTTGCCCAGAATCGTCATGCCATCCGCACGAACAAGTTTTCCGCTGATTCGACAGCCTTTGGACGAAGCGAGAATACACACATATGACACAACAGAATTCCATGTGTATAAGGCTAAACCACTTTTTCCATCTATGTTTCACTCTTGCTCTGTCTGGAATCAATCACCACTGCTCGTTTATAGATAGCAAAGATGGCACAGATGTAGGGACATCGGCCATGTCCAGAAATGGACAACAAGGCTATTCGCAATGATTGCCCCCACCATTGGGTGTCGGTCACTGTCTGTAACCTGATTCGTGCTGGCAGCTACACCCAACCTGCGCTTTACGATCAACAGAAAGGGTCCCACTCCAGTCTAAGGTCTTGCCGGACCTGGGCACGTTGCTGGTCGGCCACGTAAGAGCATGAGCCGCACGGGATTGAAGTTGTGTCATATCCGTCGTACTCATCCATTCTCCACCATTTTCTCGATAGCATTGAACATGCTCGCCGCAGCTGCCCTGCCTCGATATTCGAGAAAATCATCAAGTCTTTGATGCAGTGGCGGCCTGCTAAACACCACCTGCCATTTGACACCCGACAGAGGAAGTATGCCATTCAGACACGCTTGAACTACATGAGGTGAGAACCTGGCTCCAGGAGCCTGATTCACTAAAAGTCACCTTTTGCCACCTTGCTGCCGCCCCTATAGCAATGGCGTATGCGTCAGCCTGCACTTTCAGTCGACCTGCGTTCACTTCTTCGTGCAAAACTCGCACGACATCATCCACCTTGCCCACGCGGCTGTATGCCTGCAACGCCAACAGCAGAGCGGATTTCAACAACGTGATTGCCATTCCTGTTTGGGCCCACTTCCAGCAAGGCAGAGAATCCTAGGATATGGAGATCAGCCAACCGCTTCTGCCTCAAATTCACCAATCTGTTGAAACGATTCACCTGCTTCGAAAATTACATCGAAAACGTACCATGGCACAATGTACTCCGTGTGAAAAACGAAGAATTTCCCATAAACTGCGAATATTTCAGCTAGGATGCACAAAATCGAGAGCGCGCTTCGAGTGCATACAGAGACACACTGCAACGGCAATGCCAATGCCAATGCGAGTGCTAATACCAATGCCAATGCCCCAAGGTTACGGCAAGAGCAGTATCAATCAAAGTCAGCCACCGAAAGGGGAATGGAACTGATATGAACAAGGTTCATCACATCCAGAACCATTACGCAGAAACAAAGTGCTGTGGGGACAGGGCCTCTTCTTAGATGGACATTTGTAGCCTTTGTGAGGAACGTCTGCATTGCTGTGAAACAAAACAAGCAAGCACAGATGTTCAGTTGCAGCATTTGAGGAGAAATCTGTACTGCGCATTGCCCATTCGTGTGGGAAACCGGGGGAGAGCAATATGCCTCCTTTCAGTGTTCATGAATCGCAATTGAAGGCACCCAACAGGTTGAGGTCGCAGATTCTATTTTTCCCCTGTCCACTCCTTTCTTTTCAATCCTCACTCGCATGAGAGCCTTCAAAGTCAGCGTGTCGTGCTGCAGCTTGAATCTCTGCCGCATGTCCTTCTCCCAGTGCCACAGCTTTGAGTAGTCTGACTGCCACAGCTTGATGCGCGAGCGGTTTGCGTCCTGCCAACCTAAAGCCCCTTGACGCGCCTGCTGTCCAGTGGCTTGGCTTACTGCAGCAGAACGAAGCAACAACCATCCCTTCGGTAGAGCTGTGGCCAACAGAGCTGAGATAACACATTTCGGTCCTGTTCTAGTGAATTCATGCATTCAGAACGCAATTTAATGCATAAGACGCAACTATCAACACTGTCAATTTAGTACAAAACAGAGCACTTCAAAGCAAAGAGAAACTGCATTCATAAACATAACACCGCCTGAGTATGACTGAGAATAGTACGCAGTCGACTATTTATGCAGGTTCAATGAAGCGGCTACAATAGACCACAGATGCACAAAGGCAATTTGTGCCCACCTTCTCTTCTCTTCCAACCAATGGCAATTGATCCTTTGTTTAATTGTTGAGACCACATTTCACAAATATCATTACTGCAATTCCCCCAACTACACTATCAAGACGCCCCCCACCTTCCTTCCCATGGCTTGCAATCATGTTGAACATTGCCAGGTACGTGAAGATGTCTGGGCGCACGCCGCTGCGGCAGATGCTGCCATATACAGCAGATCCACCCTCAACATTCGCTTGACGAGCGTGGGCACCCAGCATGGCGTTGAAGCATTGGATGCTGGGGAAGACGCCTGATGACCAGTTTACGAAGTCAGAAAATGCATGTCAAGCCTTTCATTGTGGAACCAAAGACATGCGAAGGGAAGTGCAAAAGCCATCTAACAACAGATGCAAGGAGGAAAGGGGCAAGAAGGCGATCAAGGTAGTTTTGTAGGCCAAACTCAGCGAATGCTGGCCAGGACAACCAGGCCACAATTCAAGTCTGTAAGGATTTCTGCACTCAGGGGGGCTACTTGGCAACTGCTCACCAAGTATGTGAAAGACACTGTTGTCATCCTTTCGTTCATTGCCTTTGTCAGCCTGCAGGATTATTGACAAATGAGAAGAATGATTCACAAGAACATTGAAGCATCTCAGGATGGCAGTTTGGGTGTTTCTCTGTATGCAAACTTGGCCATCGTTTGGGCGGTAGCCTGTCACTGGGCTTAAGAAAGGATAAAGGCAACGCGCGATGCCCCTGTCCGGCGCTGTCATATCAAGAATCAACATGCTATCAAGATCCAGCAAATGGAGCAATGGGAAATCAACAACAATAATAAAGTATGCACAGTTCTTTGTGGGGTGTGAGGGAAAGCAACTGCAGGACCAGTTCATCCAACACAGGACCTGCTGCCTGCATTCGTTGCCAGGCTTTCTCAGCACCCTCACAGTCTCCTGCATCTGAGTGTCGCTGCAACAACTGTGCAAAGCTGTGATCATTGGGAATCACGCCATGTTCCCTCATCTCTTGGAGCAGCACCTGCATCATCAAGCATCTGTCAGTACTTGGGTGGACTGGTGGTGCAATTCATTCACACATATTATTGCAGCCAGCATCTTGGATGCAAAATTCCCATCAGATTGTTGCAGGTGTAAGGACACTGTTTTGCCTAGGGTATGAGTATGAGTATGAGTACAACAAAAAACTGGTATGACTGCTGCCAATAATGGGTTGCAGATTTACTGGACCATGTGCACAGCACAACGAACTGCACGGAATGAGGATGCATGAGAATGAGCAACAATATTGGACTTACATGATTAGCCTGAAATACTGGGGGACTGTTTTATCACCAACGAAAAGACTCAAGACCAATGACCAACAGGGGCACTTTAGAGTCTACCAGGCTGTTCAGAGACATGTACACTGATTAGAGTGATGATTTCTGTGGTCTAGGATGCTGCCAGCAAACACACATCAGCCCACTGGTACAATATCAAGCCATCAATGGAGGTGTAAAGCTTGAACTGCTCCATGGGAGTATGTGGCCACCTGCCTCACTGTCTGCACTTGATCCTCCCGTCTTGGCCATCGTCCTGTGGAGGGAATTGTATGTGTAGATATCTGGCTGTATGGACCAATTCCTCATTTGCAACAGCAGCGACTTGACCAAATCATGACGAGAGCTCCTTTCAGCAGCACAGATCGCTGCATTGAAAGCTGGCAAGGCAAAGCATGCAGCCCACCATCAGCTATTTTGCGATTGTCATGCCTCTGATCGCATCGCCACAAAACTAAACAGCAGAGCCTTTGCACCTGCAACATGGTGTCTGGTGCATGGCTGTACACTGAATGTCGAGGAGACACACTTTGTAAAGCTGAAGATGAAATTGCTTTCCTGGAGGTACTTTTATGCCTGTGGCAATGGACATGCTGATGCATAAGGGACATTGGTTCACTTGAGGGACACCAAACTCAATGGCTGCACATCACTGAAGGAAACCATTGCCACTTACACAGCTTAAATCTCTGCCAATTTTTAAGATTAAGAGATGCAATGAACATGCAACGAACACTACTGACAATCCTACAATACTACAATAAACTTGCAATGCACAGTCCAGCCTGGGCACAAAGGCCCCTTTGGTGCAGGAAAGTGCTTTGACAAGGTCAGAGCAATTCGCCATAGCTTGTTGAACTACCTTCCCTGGCCCTCTTAATGAGCAGCTCTGTCCTGCCACAAGCAATTCTTCACATCTACGCCCACATTCTGAATCATGCATCACATGAACTAGTTTGTGACCACTTATAAAGTTGTTTGGACAGCCACCTGGGCACTGACACGTGGTTTTCGACATAAGAAAAGTTAGAACAGATAATGAATGAAGCCAATGTGAGCACAGCAGGGGAAATGCTTCCAGCCAAGCCCTGGAGCTCCACCTTTCAATAGGCTCTCCTTTGCTGCTTTTCTGTCATCCCCTGCCAACTCGTGCCAAATGTTGTCTGCCATCTCCCTCACAGCCAATGAAGTTGCTTCAGCAGATCCACAACTAACCAACCACAAACCATGGCAAATAGATCGTCATTAGGGCACAGCATGGTTACAGGTTATTCGACCGTATGGCTTGTGTTCGGCATATGTCCACACATCACCCAACAACAGCACTCAATTCAATAGGCAGAACTGGTTGCTTGCATTATGGCTAGCAAAGTTCAACAGTATCTAGCTCTGCCTGACACCACATCTTTGCACATGGGCAGATAGTGAAGGATATGGGTACGAATCCCCTGGATATGAAGGGGACAAAGGGGTGTGAAGGGCTGTTAAGAGCACAAGGTGAATGTACTCTAACCCTAAACCAAAATAGAAAAATCAGCATACTCCATATCCAAATTCTGACAATTCCAAAAGCTACAAGTAATCAAACAAGCACCAACAATCAAAGTCCAGGACACTCCAACCTTTCACACTCTTTACATCCTTCATATCCATATTCTTGTTTCATGTCTTTCCTGCCGTTCCTGTGTATCCAACATTTGTCACAATATCACCCTATCCATACCACAACTGCAACCTTATTAGCTACAATGAGCCATTAGTATAGATGCTATGCAGAGGGACCATGGGCAAACTTCCATACGTCAAGAACATATTTTGGATGAGACTACACGTTGGATCCAATGGCGAACTGCTGTCCGCCTGATCACCATACTGGTGCTCTGCTCAAGGGCACCATGTGCACACCAAAGCATGCTCTTCCGCCTATACTCTTCAATGTCCTCTCTGATGTGCATGGGGATCTGTATGCCATGTCCTGCAGCATGAAAATACTTCCTCTGTCCCATATCAATTGTATGACTTTGAAGCATTATTTCTCCATCATAAAGACTTCAATTTTAGTGAAATGAAATTTTGTCCAAAGCTGTGCTTTTGAGTGGGGAGTGCCAAAATCAAGTCAATTCGTTAGGAATTGTGGATTTGGCACCACTTTCCAGCAAAGGGCTTTCAACTTGTAAACCTCGAATTTGTCGCTCAAAAAGGACGAGAATTTACGTTTCACCCAACGCTCATGGGTCTCACTTTTTTTCCTCTTGAATAATGGTAGTTAGGGTTTGGGATCCAACTTTTCGAATTGTGACATCCTCTTGTAATTCATGAGGCCATGTTTGTAGCAATGTATATCTTTCAACTAGGTGTCACTTGATATGGGACAGAGGAAATATCTTTTTGGCTTGCCTCTTAGCAAATGCTGCAATCTAAATGTGCATGGTGACCCAATACCGCACGATTCATCACTTCGTTTTGCAGTTATCAAAGCTCAGTTTAACGCACCGTTGTAGCGCCATGACTCTTGCACAGCTGGCCTTGTATCCAACGCAGGCTGAAGCAGACAAGTAATCCTTCCAGCATTCAGCTACATGGCCTTCACCCTGCTGCCCAGAAATCCTCAGCCTCTCGACCCATGTGTCTTCGTCGTGGTCAATGCCTTTCGTCATCATGTACTGAAGGCATTCCTTGAACAAATCAACATTGCCTGGAATCAGCCATACCAACAATCAGTAGGCCAGCATCAGTTTGGAGTTTCTTGAAGCGGAGGAGCATTTGACGATCTTGCCCCAGCTCTGTCCAAGGGCTAAATCTGTTTTCTGCAATGGCTGTTGCAGAATCTTATAGCAGAAAATGAAAGACCCCATCAAGACCGGACTGCGTGCAAGTTTCTTTGCCAAGATGCAGCCTTTTCATAACACCACATTGCAAGTGTTGTCATAACCAAGCAACTGAAGTTGGGCATGAAGATCGTGAACTCATTTTTGTCATGGCATACTCACAGCTAGCCACTGAAAGTGAACTGTAAACAACACCACCATACAGGGAGACACACTAAACAACAATGAACAGGGGGGACATTAACAGCCATACCCTTCCAGAAATTTAGACAAGAGGGCAGCTGCGGACCATGCAATTGCACAAGCATGTTTTGCCCATCGAAACAGAGCAATGCACGACATCACAACAAAGGAGAGTTCTGGTTTGACAAGTGCTGTAAACGTGTTGTCAAAGAGGCAAATCAGCCTCCAAAGTATGAAGCAACTATCATGACTAACTATCAAGGTAATTGAGCAGCGAAATTTGAATATGGGATAACAATTACCTGCCATTTCGACCAGAAACTTGTTCAGCATTGAACGTTGATCAAAACGAAAGTAAGCGTAAACTGCACAGCGTTTGTGCTTGTGCCGTGCTGATAAATTTCCCGCACATTCACAACTCAGCATCTCCTCAACCATTTGTCCTCATTGTTCCCTCTAATCCTTTTGTCTGTGGTGGCACCACACCCATACACCAACGAGGTATTGGAGGGCAGTGTACACATCCACAATGTTTGTTGCAATAAATTACTACCTGTGTGTGCACAGTTTCTCAGAACTTGGTTGTACATTGCAGTGGTTACTGTTGTCTGTGGAACCTTCATCAAAAGGTGCTCGGCTGCTTCTTGGATACGGCCAGTGTTGCACAGAGCGAATATCATGCTGTTGTGTGCAACCCGGCCACACGGCATGCCCACAGTCACCATTCGATCCAGCAGCTTCGTGGCCAGCTCAACATCGCCAGTCCGGCCACAAATGACAAGCAGCATGTCACACATGTCTGTGCCAGAGCGGAAGTCTGAACATGCATGCATGGAAAATTAGATCTGGGCAAGGAAAAGTCAACCATGCTTCAGCATAAGGTTTGCAAGAGCCACAACAATCATTCACAACATGCGGGACACCATACACATGTGGCACAACCATCATCTTATCTCACACATGGGAACTTGCTCACATTTTGTACCCCACAGACAGGTGGGTCAGGTTCTTTCCCCAAGCATTGTGAAGTCCTTGTAAACTGATGGAAATTTGAACACTGCCAGACTGTACACTGATTGACCGATGCTATTTGAAAGTCTGAACTCGCCAGAAACATGTGCCATGACGATTCTATAATTTCTCAAGTTGTGTACTGGATACATTCGTTCTTGCTTTGGTAAGCCACCAGTCTTCAGTGCTGACTTGCAGATCTTACTCTTTTTCTGTGGTCATGTATCCGTTGCTTGTAGCTTTATCTTGCAGGCTCTGGTGTTGGGAAAGGCAATGACTACTTCATCAACACAGGAATCTCCTGAAGTTGATAAAGCCTAACTTTTCAGCAAAATCAGTGTGGGCAGACTCTGAGGTCTGATGGTTTCAATACAATGGCCACAGCCAACATTTGTCGTACATCATGGTGTTGATCTTCGCTTCACAGCAAATAATTACTATAACAGAGTCTTGATTGAAGGAACACTGCTGCAATATATGTGCTGGCAACACCGCTCTCTAGCCTGGAGATACTGCTGGGTCTCGATAATACTATTCTTATGGGGTGCGCTCAGTATTGTCCCATTTACCAACCTGTCCGATGGCATTGCCCCCAGAAATTCAGAGGCAGCTAAGCACACTTTCCCACTGTGACTTCCCTCAAGTTTATCAAACATGCTTGTGTCATTTCTGAATCATCGTCGTGCACTATTCATAGTGCATTCGCTAAGCAGGCGATGCCAGGTGAAACTCCCAAGCAGCATCACAAAACTGAATCGCACCTCCCTGCAATGCCGCCTCCGCTCTCTGCAAGAAGATATGAGTGGCACCCTCCAGGTTGCCAGCTGCAATGGCCTTCCTCATCTTCCGGACACCATGCATCACTTGACACATGACAGAGGCTCTCTGCATGACAGGCACAGGAGTGGATTGACGCACACCTTCGCTGACACAGAGATAGCAGTCTCGATGCACACCACAGGACTTCCCAGAACACAATTATGGTGAGGACAAATTGGCCAGTAGAGTACTGTGGAACAAATGCTGCAGCTCCCACAAGTTGCCACGGAATTGACAGTAAGCATTGCCCGTTTGTGGCGCAGTGTTCGACAGGCGACAATGGCATAGTCAATAATCTTTCATTGATGACAAAAATGTTAGGCAGAAATTCCACATTTGGGACTTCGAACAGAAGCATGAATTTAAGGCAACAATTTCCGGCAGGGTATTCACATTGGCTGCAGGCAAGCTGCAGATGCATCATACATGGCAATATGCATGGCAGCTAGGTGCTGGGACAGGCTGCCTTATGAAGACAATGTAGCAAACGACAGCAGTTTTTACTTTTCTGGTAAAACAGTGCAAACATACATTGTGCAACACGATTTGTCTGCTCACGGTGGGCCTTATGGAACAGGCAGCTGGGGGGACATCAATGAGGGCATCTCTAAAATGAAGAACCCAGCCAGTGCAAGGTACACGCCACACATTGCATGCCATAATTTGGCAAAATCACATGGCGCACTGGAGACATGCAACATCGCCACTCACAAGGGTGTGTCAGGTTGGAGAACTTTTATGGAGCACTGGAAGTGCTATGGACTGTATGGATAGGATGATCTGGTATGTGTTGAGAATACGAGGGAAACATGGAATGCAGTACCCAGACTGCCGTATCATTGGCACTGCCATACCTGTCCCTTGTCCACATTCTCAGGACTGCTAAGCGCCTTCGGCTGCTGTGTTGCCTGTTGAGAAAGGAAGACAAACTAGTGAGGTCAAAGTCTGAGGTATGGAGTTCTGGCTTGAGAGAAAGTCGTCAAATGACCCATGCAGAATTCATAGCAGCCTTATGGAAAACAAGTACAAAACTGTCTTTGGTCGCTTTGGAGTTGCTTTGCTAATTTGTTGTAGTCTGCTTTGCACGATGGTACCAAAGTTCTTGTGCATGCATTTGAAAGTAGCAAGCACAAGGCAATAGGAACTGGGCCACCAAGCGAGATACGGAAAACAAATTGAACAAGTGCAGGTAGAATAGGGGGAGGGCGGAGGAACATGGCCAATTCATTGCACACTGAGGCACACATCTGGGCTGTGAGCCGAAGCATCTTGTCCTCAGGCAGCAGTTCAGAAATCTGCCTCCTCCATGCCTTCTCTTTGAGGATCAACTGAGGATGACTTCGACAGCAATCAGGGTGTGACAGCCTCGGGTGGATGCATTAGCAATCTCGACCATGCGGTATGCACGTTGCTTTATGTGCGTTAACATATTACCCAACCTTTTGTCCGTTATGCACCTAGCTGCCCATGCGTTCCTGCACACTTCGCCGCACTTTTCATGCACAAACATTTCTGCAATTGATATTGGAGTCCATTTTCCATTGGCAGTTGCAATCCTGAATCCTGAGCGCCCCCCAACGCCAATGCTCTTGACCGCATGTCCTAGTGAGAAGACAGAAAATAATATCCTCCTCTCCAAAGTGTCCAACGCGCCCCAGCAACTCAAACCCGCCCTTGCTATGTTGCATCTCTTCCATCCTGCTTGAAACGACAGCGCCATCACAGCTACATTTGCACAGGTCATGCTCGATTGCGGCCAACTGACGCAACAGCAAACGTCGATGTTCGAAGGCTGGACACGAGAACGTGGCACAATTGGCCCTGGTGTGGTGCTCTGCGTTTCCATCTGGAGGTGGCGCCCGGCATGGCTCATTGACGACCCCACAGAAGCCCTCCCACCTGAGCAAGTGGAGTGCTCGTGGAGGCATACAGACGGTCACGACACACGGCTTCAACGGGGCAGCACTCAAGGGTCAATTGGCACAACTTTCGACAGTTCCGGGGCAGCATCCCTCTGCACGCTGCCCCCCACCCCTGCGCAAACGGGTGCGCAGTGCTTAACCGAGGATGTCGGGATGAAAGGCGGGCGCCAGACATCTCATCCTGAAGAATTTGGGCGGCCATGTGCCTGCTGTTACGGACGTCGCCATGAAGGGAGATTGGGATTTCATTTGTAGATGGAGTGTTTCCAGAATGTTGCCACCAGCAGGGCAGCTTCGGTGACTAACGAACGTGGATCGATTCTGTCTCGAATGCTGTAATACTGAGGGGTTGGACCTGTAATGAGCACCGCTCTTGCCGCTGTTGGGAAGAGCGAGGGCAATCCACCCTGAGCGACTCTCTCCAATCCCGCTTGCACGCTGCGAGGGACCCATCGACTGACCGTGCGTTAACACTGCCCCGTGGATTGTACTGTTGTACAACTGATTGAGTATTATTAACAGCTGGACGGACAGAGGTGATGAAGCGTTAGGAATAGTAGGGGCATTGGCGAAGGGACTGGATGCAAGGGATAGAACTCCTGTTGTCCCCTTGCTCGGGTATAAACTGTTGCCGTGGCCTCGAGCATACGATCCCCATTCAGGGGTCGCCACTCCTCGGCCCTGCTTGCCTTCGTCAGTATTATGTGCAGTCCGCAATGGGACAGAAATGGTCAAGACCAAACAACGTGCGGTTTTGGCATTGGGCGTGCTATAGCGATGCTCCCCAATTGCTTCATTTCCCGGCGGAGACAAGCTGTCCTCAAAGAGTCTCCGATACCCCGCGTGTTTGCCCCAGAGTGCATTGCTTGCTGCAAGGGAACGGAGCGCCATCCTTGCCTCCGCAAGGCACTGTCGGGCATCCTTTCTGATGTGCGCGTCCTGAAGACAATGGCCCGGGCTCGATCGTCATTAATCGCCCCTGCACAAGCAACCTAGCAACACTGCCCACAAAATCTCAGTTGGCGCCAGGGAGCTGTCATTTGGAGCAAATTCCAACAGGGCTCTTCACCCGTGATGCAGCAATTCACTTCACGATCAGTTCGAAATGTGTGAAAACGCACTCCCCTTGCGCCAGATCGTTGCTTAGATCCTTGCTAGAGTCACAATGAAACCAAAACTGCCTGACTGCTGCTCCGACCAGTGGGGAGTCTGACTCCAGCTGTCAGATGCTCAGCAGCAGCTGGAGGCTTTGGCACTTGAACGAACAGGTGAAGCCAGCCGTCGCTCGTTTGCAACAGCACCACTCCAGGGATATACGATGGTCTCGGGGTGGGAGGGATGAGGAGACATTGTGTGGAGCGGCCTGTATGAGCAGCTGTGTCGTCGAGGTGTGGCAGAATTTTGGCACGGCATTACGATCACCCCGTAAAAGGTAGCATATCTGCACCATCAAGAACGTTCTCGGGATTCTCTCAATGATGTCCGTCTGAGTGATGACAGACCCGTCATTGGCATTGGCATTGGCAGGCGAGTCATCGCATGCAATGGTGCAACCCCTCAGCACTGCAGCAAGACAAAGTTGTGATAATGGACGACGAAGCGAAACGTGAATGACTTGAATGGAGGCACCTTGACGATAGATAAGAGTTCTGCGTGAGAGTGCTGAATGTGTTCCATGCCTCAATGGGTTTCTGGAGCGTGCCCGCTGTGGGTAGCGCCATACATCATTGGGAGTTACTGCGATGTCCCTAGGCAGAGTCAGATGCACAAGGCGCTCTTTACTTTGATGCAATATGTGGTCTGGGCAGTCTCGCTTGCTGTGGCTATGTGTGACAGGATAGGCTCACAAAAACACCCGTCCAAAAAGCAAGTTGATCGCTGATCTTGGGCAGACACTTGCGACTGCATATTGCCCATCCACAAAGGCCATATTAAGCACATCTGAGTTGTTGGAGCGGCTGCACACGCAAGAAACTTGGGGTTGAGGATTATCGGCCATGCATTTAAAACGGCAGAGTGGCGCGTTGCGGATAGGAGCCTTGGTATTTGCCACAGAAGACAGCTGCAACATCGATGCGAACTAATGGGGAAAGCGACTATTAGAGTGTATCTGTTCACGGTACCTGATCTTGAAACAGATTCGCAATTGGCTTCAGTCGTGACGATACCAACCTGTCACACTTATCTGCAGGCGTGCGAAATAGCCAGAAGCTTCGGTGTCGTCACGACTGCAGGACAATTCGTTTGAGAATGAGGTACGCTGGCCAGGGAATTTTCCATCACCTGGAGTGGTTGAGATGGTGAACATGAAGATTTTTTGCATGCTGTTCGCGACGCCGCATAATGACCACCGTTTCACTGGGTGGATCACTTATGCTTGATGGCTTGCGACTAGTGTGCATGTCAAAACGTGAATCGCTGCTTGAGATTGGAAAAAAAAAGATTGTGGTTGCAGAAAAATGGTGCTTTGAAACTTGCAAAGGTTACTCCCACCAAGATGTTACTTTCCTTGGAGGGGCACACAGGATGTTTCTTTCCCTGGTGCAGCATTGAGCTTCTAGCCTATGCATACTCCTTTGCTTGAAGATTGGCGCATGTTTTATGAAAAGTCGGATTAGCCATTTCTGTGAGTGAATTCTGGTTTTGAATTTGGTTCTTGAGGTAGTTTTCGATCACACTCATGTTTGTTGAGGACAACATGAGCTCGATGAAAGAAAGTCCTGCAATTCACATAGAGATGCCTTGGTCATAGTGTCTTGTCCGCAAGATGCAAGGGTGTGTTGTGGGGATTCCCCACGAAACTTCCGAAGTTTCGGATGTGTGTTTCCCGAAGCTTTACAGCATTGTGACCGCCTTCTACTTTCACTTTGGCTTGCAAGATTTGTTGTACTTGCACTTTGCAGTGGGGGCGCTTGGAAATGGCCATATGCGGCACCTGAGTAGTCAGAATCATGTTGTTTTGAATTCTGAGTGAAAGGGAAGCTGTGGCATGTTTCATACGTTGGCTGCACCTTAGTGATGAGGTGGCATGGGGTTGAATTGTCATACGGGCATTTGTGATTGATGACAATCCTTGGGAGTGAAAAGGGTGGATGAGTGGTTGCGAAAAAAGGAATTCTGAGTGGGGGTCGTTGCCGGCGGCGGCGGCAAGACTCTGTTGTGGGAAGGGCGAACAAATATGTAAGCCCAAGGCTGCTCGTCTGTGAGTGTGGTCCAAGGATGGCCGCAGCGGACTCCAAGGGAGCGTTGCAATCACCAGCTTCCTAAGCGCACTCCAAAGGATTGCCTCGAATGGCCATACCTTTAACAATGCTTGAACTGGGTTTCCGTAGCCTTTTAATTGCAAGGATGGAAACAATGCTGGAACAATTCTTGGAACATGAACATCGGACAAGAGTACGAGGTGAAATTTTCGTTTCTGCAATTGGGGCCTGGAATTCTGTAGTGATGTCCATCATATCGGCAGGTTTCGGAATTCCCATTGCATGTCAAGAGAGTTAAGCGACAACAATTTCATGCGCTGCCCTCGCGACCGCTATCAGCAAGTCTGGTGACGGAGACCCTACCCTAACAGCATAAAGATCGTCAGCAAGATCGCGACAATGAGCTTTCGAAGGATGTCACGATGTTGGGTCAAATGGAAACGAAATGGAACTGGCCTCAAAGAACAACGTCAGGGATTCATGGCCCCTGCCAAGAGCGGTAATGCCACTGGTTTCTTCTCTGCCGACTTAGTTCCTGGGGCAGCGTGTGGGTGAGCCAAGATATCTGCCTGTTGCGCCCATCGGGCAATGAGGTTGCTGGGCAACAGCAGGAAACACCACTCCGGCGGCGCCATCTGCGTTGCCATTTGGCGCTGATTGATTCTGTCACAGTTACTTTGATACCGTCACAATCACTGCGATGGCGCCACCTCATGGCAAACGGCATCGAACTTGACAACGCCAAAATGACGTTTTTCTGCCGGTGGCGAGCGATAGAATGAACAGAATGGGAAAAAAAACACGCTGACTGAGTTTCTATGGCCATGCAGCACTTTGTATTCATGTGCACGGGCAACGCATTGTGGAGGTATCAACAGACCCAATCACAAACGAAGCTTGTTCAACCCTGGCGCCCAGGAAAGGACTGCTGGTGGGTCACTGGATGCGACCACCGCCGTCATGTTGCAAGACATGTGACTTCACAAAACAGAACAGAGAATTGAAGTTGGCGCACCCCGTCATTGGCAAGCGAGTCATCGCATGCAATGGTGCACGCCCAATCAGCCCTGCAGCCAGCCAAGAAAAGAATCCCAGACATTGCACAATTCAACGCCGCAAAGGCGCATGCTAACACCCCTGTGGGGGCCTCACATCGAATGCTCAGAAAAAAATGCCACATACTGGCGTACAAGCCACTTAACTACGGCCCTACAGTTTCCAGTCCATCTCGGCGGCCTGCAAGAGCTCATCCTTGACAGTGGGTGCATGTTGTGGTGTCCGAATCTCATCGCTGAACCTAAAGTTCATTAGCGTAGTAGGCATAAGGTCGGCGTCCTTCACAAGCCCAACTACCGGTAATACCTGCCGTGTGGGCAAGTATAGTTCAAACGTGCGGGTGGGGTCCCTGGCTTGCTCAGCAACCCACTCCAGGATGGAAGTCAGAGGCTCTCTCGCCCCGAACTCTCCCTGCAGCAAAACGCCCTCCGGAAGGCGAATCCGTATCACAGCATGGTCAGGGGGAGGGCCTCTCTTTGCCGCCTGCAGTTGCTCCCTGTAGGCTTTGGTCATGAGCACCTTTGGCACAGCACAGCTGCCTTTCACACTCCCATGTGGTGATATACAATGCATTGGTGAAATATGATGCTGTTTTGCCAACTACAGCGAAACCTATCCCACAAAATGCAAGGCCGTGACCACCACTAATCCTTCAGCGTTGCATTGCGCTCACGGCAACAAATGGACTGGGAAACAAAGATGGCTCTTAAGGGATTGTACGCACAAATGTCGACTCCGCTTCTGCCACAACGGTTAGTTCAGCACTGGCAGTCAGCCATGATTTTGGCAACACTTTGCAGAATTATCTGTGCCTACAACGAGATGTGTTGGGAGCACAGCATGGCTTCCCAGCCACAGCCTATGAAATATCTTCGGTAGGCTGATAGATGGCAATATGGATGCCAGATTGTGCCTTTAGGATGCAACATGCTTCCATTGACCCCTCAGCAATGCTCCAGACTCCTGACTCGCCCGCCTTTCTCTTATCTTAACTACGTTGCTGCACTGACGTCGGCATGCACGGCACACAGCGTTGGATAATTCGGACTGGCAGTCCAGCAAGATGGTGATATTTAAGGACGTGAAAATTACCAACGACGTGCCATTGGCTGCCATGACATCATGCATGCAGTTACGCCTTATTTTGCTGGTGCCCATAGTTAAATATATGCCAGCCCCACCTGCGAATCTTCCCTTGCCTTCTTGGCTGCGAGGTACTGCATTCTGATCTCCCCTCCAGTCCTCTGGAAGAACCAGTCAGGGATGTCTGCCTCTGTCGGGCGTGGCAACAACAGCTGAACAGATAGAACCAGCATTGCCAGAATCAGAGATAAGTCATACGACGAGCCCTCCTTGAGAATCTCAGCCACTTTAATAAGCGAGTTGAACAGCTCCAACAGGCTTGACACCTCTTGGTACAGTGGCAGAAGCATGCAATGCTGAATTTCGACAGTCCGTCCGCTTCAACCAAGGACAATTACAATGAGACAAGGAAGTGGCGCAGACAACGATGGGAGGCGGCACGGACAACGATGGGAGCTGGCCCAGCAGGCATATGCATCCATGAAGAGCACGAGAGAAGCCATCTATCATGCAGTTCAGTCAGCATAGGAACTGTGCTGCACCAATTGCTGAGCACAGACTGGACAAGAAGTTCAATTGCACTGCAGATGCCATCATGATCAAACTAAAACAGAACCTGGTTGTCCACTCCCACAACTATCAACAATCTTTTCCTGCGGCTCAACATGCAGCAGGATCAAACGGTTTGCTAATACGCTCTTGCATTTGCTCCACAAAAGTAAATCCAATATCTGCTACCTTGGTGTTTCGAGGCCTTGCAGCCGGCTGTGCCAAAGGCTGCGGCGTCGATGACTGCGATGGAGGGGGTTGAGCAGTGCCAGTGGCGGGTGCAGGCACTGGGAAGTGCAAGTCCAGCAGCCTCACGGCCTCTCTTGCTGGACCAAGTTCTGCTGATTCAGGCATCACCATGAACCTGGCACAGTGGGAGTCTGTTTCAACATTGCTGAGAATCCACAGAAAACAAGCGATGAACCCGGGCTCCAAGAAACACAAAAACAAATCGTTTGACGTTAATGCTTCGGTTTACTGGTTTGCAGAGTGTGTACTTGGTGCTGGCAGGGCAAGTTCCTCTGGTGGTAGCTGAGATCTGAGGCAACACGCCTGATGGTGGCTTGCTGCCTACTTCTGTACAATATCATCTGCCATGAGCGGAACAAAACTGTGACTCCAGGCGCACTTGAATACAGTGAATGGGCACCCCACTGTTTGGTAAGCCCTCATCAGTAGCTTGTGGATTGTCCATGCTGACAAAGGGCGGCTACACTGAAAAGTCTGGAAGGCTCTGGGCGTGGGAGTTTCAGAAATCGTATGAATGATCCCACTCCGCTTGAACATGAACGGGCGTTGCCTGGTCCATTTCACACCAATTGCAACCCCTTTTGAACATGCAGCCTTGTTCACTTCTGTGGGGACAAATGCTTGTGCGCGACACCTTCTCTATCAGCCGCTTTAACCTGACAACGAGTTGCATATCTCCAGCTCCACATTCAGATTTTAACTCCTGACTTGATCCTGTTTGCAACCTTCACTGCTACGCTGCACCCGTTTTGCAGCTGCTCTGCACACCCTCACCTTTCTGTCCCCTCCATGACCTGCTCCTCAAAGCCGCAGGCACGCAAGATGTCCAGAGCACCATTTACCGCCACCACATTTTCCACTATCTTGGGGTTGTCCAGCCGCAGACGTCGGTACTTCTGTTCTGATGGGTTGCCCAGGATGTTCCTCAGCACCCTCCGGAGCACCTGGGCGCTTTGCGCATTAGAGGCGTCAGACACCAGCAGCCCTATCCCGACCTGCAACTCCTCGGAGGCTCCTTTGCTGACACCATCAGCAGCTGGGGTGTCTCTATTGGGTGGCTGCGCAGATCCATCGCGGCCCAGATCCCACGAAGGACTCACCCCGTAATCCCCCTTTCGGCTGGGGTTGGAGGCACTTCCCTGTGCAGAGGGACTACCTGAACGGTCACCACGTCGCTCAGCACGCGATGATCGCGAACAAACATCCAAAAACGTTGCCTATGGCTCACTGGTTCATTGCCTGCAAGGTGAGCAAGTTCTCCTCTGACACTTGAAGGGAGATGCGTTACAAGGAATTGAGCCCATGCTCGACAAGCGCGGGGCCCGGCTGACCGTCGCTGACCGCCTGGCTCCGACCAGAGGGCGCGAAGAGAGGAGAATCGCCGCGCAGCTGCTCACGCACTTGATCGACACACAGGGAGCCAGTATCATCCGACGCTGCTAGAACTGGCAGCACGGCGGCGGTCCGAAAGACTGCTTCGCCCGCGGGCTGGCATTTCGGCCGGCATGCAACTCCAAGACACATGCGAAAGGGTGGTGGGGCCCAGCACTTCGCACGAGCCAGACTTTCTGGTCCCCCCCTTTCCATTGACGGATCACCGCAACTCACCGCCCGCAGGCCGCGAGCTTGGAGCGCCCCCTCCGGAGCTACCGCCTGCCCCCAGCGGCTGTTTCCTCCCCTGAGGCTGGGCGGGCGCCTCTGCGGTCAGCCTGGAGCGATGGGCATCCGCGGGCCTCCTGCTGGGACCGGGCTGGGCCGCGCCCTGCAACGATGCAGCCATAGACAGTCAACCAGGGCAGCACATCATCCCAGGTGCCGCCAGCTGCACCGCGCCACAGGCGCCCGCGCGGCAAAGACTGTTGGCGTGCGACAAGGGGCGGGATACCTGCGGCTGGGAGGTGCCGAGGTAGTGCGCCTCGCCGTGGCCGAACTTCTTGCGAGAGAACAGGTCCTTGAACCCCTCCTTCAGCGACTTCTTCATGTTTGGGAGCGCGCTCGGGCGTTTGGGGAGCGGCCGAGAGCTCTCAGGGGCGCCCTGGGAGCGGTGAAGCCGCAGGTGTTGCAGCGATGTAGCCACATCGTGCAGTTTCTGACCAGCGCCCAAGCGCGGTAGTCACAGGGATGACACAGCGTGTTGTAGTACTTAGCACTGCGTTGTTCAAATGCTTCCTGATTCAGCAAATCAGCGAAAACTCATTGCGAAGATTATGTGGGGCTTGCATTCTCCTCCCAGAAGTGCCGGGTGCCCTTCACCCCTTGAAGGTGTGGGAGCAAAGCTGTGAGCTTTCGTCAAGCGTGGTGGCGGAGGATTCACATACGCTGCTGACAGGGCAACCGATGGTGCGATGCAATGACCGCGCATCGCTCCGAGGACCACGTGCGAAAACAGAGGCAGCACACGTGTTTCCAGACCAGACTTTCTTGCATTTCAACTAACCCTTGTACAACGGACCAAACCCTGTTCATCTGGTGCAATTAATAGAGTTAATCTTTCGTGAGAGACAAGAGACGCCTCATCATGCACATCGACGCCTCGAACATTGATCAGCTGCCCTGCAAGCACCATGGCTCCCTAGCTCCGCCACCATCCAAATTTCCATGCAGCGACCGAGTTTGGGACCAGCAAGACAGCAATCTTGTTCGCAGAGGTAGCATAATCACTCCGCATCCAGCTCAATTCCACTGTTCTCCACGTCTTTGAGCATGGTTGTGAATGCCATCCCCTGTTTGTCTGCATATTCCCTTAGTTCCTTGACAGTCATGTTTCGAGCCCTGGCCACAGACTCAGGGCTGTCTGGACTGCTGTTCTCAATATCTTCCTTGATCGCCTCGCCAAGGGAATCCACGTCCAGTGGAAGGCCCTGGGCCTCCCATTTGGCCACCTTTTTAAGCCATTCTTCGTACTCAGGGTCATTGAACTCAACCGCTTCACCCTGTCCACCCATTCCGGCATCTCCATAGTCATTTTCACCGTTGTCATCCAGACCAAAAAATGCCTCTGCCATGCCTGCAAGGTCTTCATCGTCACTGATATCCATGGGGACCACCCTTGGGGAACTGCTGCGACGATTCTGGCCATCCTGGGACTTCGATGTCTTAATGCTGCTGACATCTTTCCGAGAGACAAAGCGTCGCACTGGCTTGCGACGTTGGATGGCAGCAGGTCGTGTTCGCGGCCTTGCAGATGGCATTCCTCTTGCTCCCATGGGTTGCGGTCCCCTTACTCCAGATGATCCTCCTGCCATGTCATCTATCATGCGCTTCAACGCTTCTGGGTCTGCACCGGATGCAAGAGCCGACTGGATGGCTGCTCGTGGATCCAGTGCTGATGCTGCACCTGCCGTCAGTACACCTGAGTCCCTGGCACCATTGCTGCTCCTGTTCCGATTCAGCGACTTCCGTTGATCCATCCCATTTTGATCATCAAACACCTGCGCTGATGGTGGACCGTTGGCATCCTGAATGGGGGCATCGTCAGAAGGTGGTGCAGCAGAAGCATCCGACTGGCTTTCCTTCCTTGCACCAGCATCACTGGCATCCAGGCCCACAGATGGTGCATTCTGCACCCCAGCATCGATTGCTGCTTCTGCACTGGAGCTAGCAAGCTCCCCATCAAGGCTTGCACTTACAGCTCTCTCAGGCTTGCGATCCTCAGAGCTGCCACCAACTGATTCCCTTGGCAGCACCTGGCTGGGCTCCTGCCCTGCCGCTGCCTGCACAGCTTCCTGGCTGTCCTGCTGCTTGCCAGATGCAGCTGGACCAGTGCCAGCCACACCCGTATCCTTATGGGACGCCAGCCCCTCAACCAAATCATCAATTAGAGTGAAGTCATTCCTAATACCTGGAGACATAGGAGCACTTTGCTCTGGAGAGTATGCACCATCTCCATTCAACCTACCCTCACTCACGGCACCACTTGTATGCGACGATACCTCGCTGTCCTGGTGCTGTGAATTCTCACTGCCACACATGGGTCGTACCACCTCTTCGGCTGGTGCATCTGCTTCCATTCGACCAGCATACAACGAAGATGGTTCTGAAGCAAGTGAAGTGGCGCCTCGGTCGCTATCCAGTTCTCCAGGCAATGCTGTTGGGGCCTGGTTTCCATCGTCAGCCCTGTTCTCAATTCTTTGATGCAGTGAGTTGGATTCACCTGCAGGCCCCAAATCCATCTGTCCACTGCCGAACTTCCCTTTGCATTCATCAGGATCCTCTTCCTGGCCTTTACCACTGGAGATGCCAGCATCTTCGGCATCGGGTTCTGGGTCTATGCTGCTCATCCGCTCGTCGTCACCCTCGTCACTGTCATGCTCCTGCTCAAAGCCATCAATGGCAAACTCTCCGTCATGCCCAGTAGCCTTCTTGATCAACTCTTCAACATTGACTTGGTCTCTTGGCACATCATCAGGGATAATATCACCCAAAGGAACCTGCAGAACGCTTTCTCCATCATCTTCCTCCAGCTCCAGCTTACCACTTTCAAGGGCTTCTGAAATCGAGCTGACTCGTTCTTTTATCTGAACGACACAGCAGCGACTCCCTTCACAACATTATGCAAGATAGCATACATACTATGCTTCAGCCAGGTAATATGTGTGAGGAATTCTATGAACACTCTGTCGACAGAGGGTGTTCTGGATTAGTTCAACAATCACTGCCCTGTGGATGCCTGGGCGCTGCTCATATCCCTACCTGTGAAAAGGCGATGTGCACCACAACTGGCCCTGTGGTAACTCTGGTTTGAGGCCAAACTGGCTGCAAACTATGGTATCAGACCGAAACTACAGGTCTCATGCTGGTCAAAGTTGGGCTGACAACAGCTCGACACTTGTCTGGCACACATGGCCTTCTGCTAGGATGTGAACCTGCAACAAATGTTCTGGATCCAATACCAATACTGTCATTGTCATCCACATACCAGTGCCATAAACAGTATGTGCACAACACACCCAATATGGCACACATAATCACACAGTACCAGGACGGCATACACTGAGCAGCTGCAAAACCAACCCTGTGCCCAATGCCACAATTGTGGCTGGCAACCTTGTTCTTCTCGATGGCCAAAGTGCTATCTCATCGCTTTTCACCAACCGGAAACTAACAAACACAGTGATGTGAAGTTCACATTAAGAACAACTACTCGGCAAAGTTCAGCAACAAATCGCTTTCAAATGCACAGTCAGTGCTTTTGCTATGTGCTGGATAGAAGCAATCAATTCATCTACTGGTCTTATGTTGGCAGACCAAGGCACACTGACCTCATTCTGGAGAAAGTCCTGAAGGTTGGGCAGCCTATTTGAGACATGCCCTTCTGTGTCCCATATTTGCTTATCTGGGTTCTTGCGGCCCCGCTGCATCTTCACAGCCTCAGCCAGCAGTTCTCCCAGCAGCATGTCTTGTGTCTCTTCAGCAGCAACTCCAACACAGACTGGCGGCAAACCAGATTCTTCAAGAAGTTCCACCACTGCAGCCTGGGCCTCAACTCTCACACCACCAAAGACGATCACCCTCTGGGAGCCCCACCCACCACCCCTGCAACAAAGAACTCACAACTTTGTCAAAAATGGGCTCTGCTGTGTTGCGACAGCTTGCAAAACTACTCCCAAATGCGCGTGCAAGACCTCCTGTTCCACATATATGATCAAAGTCAATGTTTGGGTGCCTCCCCTCCCCTACTGACTGAGGCAGGGATGTGTATGTCGCTCTCACAAGGGGTGAGTGCACAAAGCACATGCAGTGGACAGGCAAATAGTTCTGCCATGCTATTGTTGCCACTGGGGGCATCAGACCATGTACGCACAGTGTGAAGTTCTCTGGTCTTGGTTTCTCCCAATCAGGTTCCGGCAGGTGAACAGCATCCCTGACGTGCATGGCCATCATGTCAGCCTTTACAGGCACTACTTTGACAGCATGACCTCCAGCTGAATCAAGAAGCACTCGCACGACAGGCAGTTCTTCGACTTTGAAACCTGCAAGGAGGGCCACCGGTGGGCCAAACACCTTCTGATTTTGCAGGGCTTTCAGAATGTTCTCGTTCACATCAGGCCGCAGTTTGGCCAGATTCTCCAGTGTGAGGTCAAAGCCCTCAGGGTCAGCATAATCAACGCCCAGAGAGGCCTGTTCCTCTGCAGCTTGCTCTTTTGTCATTCCCAGGGACTGCGACAACCACAAAAGGACATGCAATCAGGCGCAAGGGAAATGAATAAAACCGCGAGAGGTGCAGAATGCGTCCAGAGAGCTTCCAGAATAACGAAACATGGTTCCATGCAGCCCCAACCATCGCCCATCTACCTGGCTGCGAAAAGGTGTGTGCAGATACCAAAAGGCGCATTGTCTCTTCTACACTGCTCCCCCGATGCAACTGCAACCGAATTGCATGTATTCAAGCAGGAAATGGACAATGGCACTCAAGTACTGGCGGCCAAGATGGACCACCTTTGGCACCCCCCACAAAATTGGCAGAAACATTGTTATTTGATTCTAATTTCCTGTGGAGATGGTGAAGATCGTATTGGGCACATTCTGTGGATTTATACATGCTGGTCAACGCCTTGCAAAGCTCAAGGTTAGCAATTGGCCACATGTTCACAAATACAATCGAAGAAGCTAGTGCATCACAAGTGCCCAGAAGCAGACACCCACAATACTGCCCCAGCACTCGCCTTGTAATATTCATCATCCAGCTCAATGTCATCAAAGTCCATATCCTTGTCCGCATCATCCAGCAGATCTTCATCGTCATCGAATTCAATCTTCACATCAGAGGGTTCCTTCTGTGCAAAATGGCGGAAGCCCCCAATGGGTTGTTTGGCTATGTGGCCAACTCGCCACCCAAATGCACTCTTGGGGCTCCAATGCAACACAAACTGCAGCGGCCTTGCCTTGAGGGATGCAAGATGTGTTTTCCTTCTGGTCGCCTGGCTTCCACGTCTATGCATGCTACAAACGCTGCTGTGCATGCTTGCATGCACAGGCACCATTGCCTTGCAGAGCGAGGAGTTTGCTAAAAGCATGACAACAGCGCCTATGAGAGAACAATGTGAGTGTTGCAGGCTGTGCGGAAGGTGGTTTTGAGCTGTGGAAGTCACTGGTGGCCAGGTGGCTGGTGGGACTCGTCAGCTTCTGAGATGCGTACCCTCTCCTTCAGAAACTGCCAAAACAAGGCAACAACAATCCCAAATCAGCTTGTGATTGTGAAGAAGAACGAACATTGGCTTCAGGCATACTTCAAGGCAGCTCAGCAGCACCTCAATAGATGGTTTTCACCAAACGTTGAAGAGGTCAAAATCTCAGCACCAGAGATCTGAAGCGTTGAAGGCATGTTACAAAGTGTGGTGCAGCTGCTTTCGAGCCAAACCTGGGGAGCCCACCTTTTCCATCGCTTTTTGGACAGAGTCTCGGCCAGTCACCAGCAAACGGTTGATCTGGATGTTTGCACAATGCAGGTGAGGACCGGGGCACAGTACATGTTTGCGATCTACACTCAGCTAGCGATCACCCTCTATTTGCACCTGTTTCCATGTACAGCTACGAGCGTCTGTTTGCGATCAAGCAAAGCCACCCATCAATGCTTGGGTCGAGAATCGGGCAAAAGGTATCAATGGAAAACTGGTGAGTTTTTGTCTCACATGCTGAACACCATCTCCATATCACACAGCAGCAATCGCCCACAGCTTGAAAGCTGTGTATACATGCACACAACCAAAGAACAATACCTGCGATGGCAATCATGCCTGCAAGCAAGGAATGGGCAGTGGGCCATCCACATCGCATTATGAGGAGCAAGAACGTCAAGGGCAATATTAAGGTGACAATCTGATTGCCATGTAGTACTTCTGATGTACTTTTCATCTCACAAGAGTGTGCACACTGTAAAATGCGATGATTTTGTGCTTTATGCTGCAAGAATGAAGACAGAAACAACACACAAACGCGCATCGGTGCAAATAAGACTGAAATTTCCATACTGCTGGAGGGAATGCATTGGACCGTTGTTGGGTGGGCATGCTGCTCAATGGGACCAGGCTGGCAGCCCTGTTGGCATGGCACTGGGCCAGGGCATGCTCTGGGTCCCACCCACCGTATCGTCAACATGAGATAGTCATTATCAGAATACCAAATGAACTGGATTGCAGGAATATTGAGAATGCGAATATGCATTTGAATATTGAGAGCAGGCGCACCACTTCAGGATCAGTCTCACTACGAGCAGCCTCAAACTCCTGCCTGGCACTTGCGCGGATAACGTCCCGCCTGTGCAAGCAATCGGTGCAGTAAGCACCAAGCAGAGAGCAGACAGGGTACCAGCACAAGAACAGTGCTGAAAAGCAGCTGGAGCGACAATGCCAACACAGAAACCCGAAACAGAAAGCCACTTGCACTTTGCTCATCTTGGGTGCAAACACCAGAGTGACGGTGCAAATCAGATCCTGACAAGTGCTTTTATGGGCACTCAATTCCCATCGCCAGCTTCTGTGCCTGAAGTGAGTTTGAATCAAGAGTTGCAAGGCATCATGCTGCATAGATGCTGCTTTCACAGCAACACAGTCATGGCTACATGTTTGAATCTTGCCTCTACAGCAATGCATTGTGCATGGTGTCCGGATGCAGTGCAAGCTGTGAATGTCCGAGCTGGCCCTCTTGCCTGGCATTTCCCTGCTGCCCATGATGATGGAGAACTTTGCCCCGCTTCCATGAATGCTAGGTTACTTGCATTCCTCATCAGTGCATAACCTGCCAGCTGTTGTGCAATGGCATAGCACTCCAAAACGCAATAGAATGACCTGTACCAATATAAACAGCACCATATTTCTGGCTATTGTAGCTGTGTGTGCAGCACAGGTCCCTTCGATTGAGTTTGGTTGCACTGTTCTGCTACAATCCTGACTTGCTCCTGCTAAAGTAAAGAATGGCAAGGGCTTGGGAACTGCCCAATGACCAGTGGCATCAGGGGCAACCTTGCAAAAACATCCACACAACCTTTCTTGTACGCAAATTCTATATCGTGTGGCCTTGTGTATCTGACCGACGCTGCAGCTGTGTCTACCCTTTAAATGTAGCATTTACTTCCGCACTTGGAGGGGTCTGGATCTTCTTCCGCAAAATGGATAAACACCCTGTTGAAAAAGTCAGAAATGAGACGGCATTCTGGACCCTGTGGGAGCAAACGAACCTGTGGAAAACAACTTGCATGTCTTTGCCTCGCATGAGCAAGGGTGGTGCTTTGTCATGAGTAAGAAATGAAGGTAAGCCATAAGTTCTTTTCATGCACGAGGGCCCCACAATCTTGCCCGAGAGCGAGGCCACAGGTTATATGCCTCCATGGATGGCAAACTCCAACGTTCTCCATGAGAAAATCATTGCCAGTTACGTACCAGGTCTCTCCGCTGTTGTTCTCCCAGACGAAGAGAATAGAGTACCTCAGGATTTCGCGGTACCTGCGATTGCAAGCAGGAACTCCCATCAGCAACACCTAGCTGAGGCATGGAATCTGGTGTTTCGCGGCCATCGTATTTGGACAGTCCACACGCTCAATAGTCTCCGACACCGCCCTGCAAGCTCAAGGGCTGTGTGTCCTCGCTTTTCGCCAAATCCAATCGAAGGCCTTACACCTGGTTCGTCAATCAGTCCTCGACAAAAGACTGGCAAGCTCTCGACGCCCGTTGGGCGCCCATGAACAGTTTCTAGCCGCGATGATGCACCACCACAAAGATGCTGGCCGGTTCCAAAAGCCATAACTTCAGGCGTGCAGATCTTTGGGCAAGGAAGCCACAAAGAAAACGTGCTCACGGCCCCCAACAATGCGCGGACTGAGCACAAAAAGCAATTGGGGTGCCGGATCCCGAAGGAGCGAATGCGAATCATGCCATATTACAAGGACAGCGCTTCTCTCCGGGTTGTAACCACGTGCTGTTCGGACGGAGCCTTCGAGCTGGGAGCCTGAGGCAGCACCAAATCCAACACAAGTGACTGAAGTGCACAGCATCGATCAAGCGCCTGGGGTGGGCACTCTGCCGGCAAGCACATCAGGGCAGTTCTGGAGGGCACGCTCGAAAAATCCCTGCGGTTAGCGCGCACCAGTGTCCGGGAGAGTATATCGTCAACCTCGCCTTGGTCAGAGTAGGCGCGGCGCGGGCAGCGCCTGCGAGTGCGGCGGCGATGGCGCGCCGTGAGGGTACCTGGCGCAACATTCACAACAAGACGTGCCGCATTGCGCGCCGCACCCCGTTCGGTGGTGTCCTTGTGTACGGCGCTGTACTTCGTGTACCGGAGGATGGCCTGGCTCGCTTGAGCCGGTCGCCCAATATACGTACCAATTGCCCACGTTGACATGCGCAGCTCTCTTTGGTGAATCAAGCAATCACATTACATAAATAAGTGTAATATAGTACTTCCTACAATATCACCGTTCGAAGTATGTTGGAATTAAGTCATGCTCAATCATGCTGCACCTGCGCACCACGTGGGACACATGACCAGCATACGTCGACTGACTGGATAACACCAGTTTTCGTGTCACAGCACGCCATAGACCAACAGGATATCTGGCATGGACAGCAGCTAAACGTTGCTAACAAGCGGAAAAACACTCTGAAAACAGCGAGTAGATAGGTTAAGAGTTTTCAATGAAGCACCCAACCCAACTTTTCCAACCGCATGGATCATGTGTGGGCAAGAAGAACCAAAACAAATGCCATCAGGCTTCAGAACTTGAGAAAAAGGACTAAATATGGAGGTTGTGCTTTCAGAGGCCCAAGTTGTGAGTAAAGTGAAATTCATGTTGATTATGTTTTATGGGGTGCAAAACGTGGAACCTATGCACGCCTTGCACTGCAAGGTGTTGATGTGTGATAGATGGGGCAACAACAGCTGGTAATCTCGTGAGTGAAAGGCCGGAGAATGGTCGTTGCCCTGGGTGCTCATCTGAAAGCATTGGCCAACGGCAGGCTTGGTTTTTACGCCGTAAAAACTGATCGTATTTACGTTTTTACGCGTAAAAACAGTTTTTACGTTTTTACGCGTAAAAATGCATAAAAATACGTAAATACAACGTAAAAACTGCCCGGTGTACATAAGGACAGTACATACAGACTTACGGAGTCCGGAGAGTGGCAGCCAGACGCCCTGGAAGGGGCAGGAAACGAGTTCTTGTTAAACACCATCATCGCCCTTGCCAAGGGCGAGGTGGACACTGTGTTGTGGGTGCTGGATATGGCGGAAGACTGATCATTGTACGCAACTTTCATCGCGTAATTTGGGCGTCCAAGGGTGCCGTAAAAACGTAAAAATAGCCGTAAAAATAGGGTCTTTTGCAAATTTACGTTTTTACGCGTAAAAACGTAAAAGTAAAAACGTAAACGTAAACGTAAAAACCAAGCCTGGCCAACGGGATTTTCAATCTTATCAAAGCTGTTGCATACGTGGGCGACGCCCTTCTGGATGGCATGTTTGCTTCTCACTGCTTAAAAACATTGCCTGCCAGCTTTCAGCGCAACAAACGGGTTAACCCAATAACGCGCAATGAGGATTCGCCGCGATTTTCCGGCCACGAGAATTAGAACTTGGTATCAACATTAGCGCTGCCAGGAGTAATCCTGCACTGCTGCACCAATTTGCAAAGGTGGGTCCGGAGCAGTGTCCACATCGCAGGGTGTTAAGAGTGTGCAGTGAATCTATCACCGCCACCTGTAACTTGCCATGTAATTGCCTGATGATCACTGGATTTCATTTTCTTTTTGACTGCCATACGATCGATATAATCAGATCAAATTATTTAGTTGCTTGTGACTTCAGTTTCCTCATCAACATACATTCATCAGCACAAGGGGTTCCACCGGGGACGATAGCTCCACACCAATGGAGCCAGACTTTGACAGCTACGTTGCGCCTTGCTTTTCTGCTTAAAGTCAGTGCCGCGGCCTAGTCATTCACCAAAACACCATATGAAAATATTAAGATTACAAGGGGAAGAGCACTGCGTCGCAAATTACTTACTTGAAACTTCACCTGCTGGTGGCCCCCTAGCTAATCGGCTCTTGGAAAATCCGCCACGCATTCTGTGAAACATCGCGTGCTTCCAAGCACTTGGGATGTGAACTGGAGATGAATTTCCAGCTGCAGGAACCATTGGCGCCTGGATATCAAAGAATTGGTGTTGGTCCTTCACTTCTTCGCTCTGAACACAAAACGGCAGCAATGGCTCAAGAATGTACATCAATTTATTGGCGCGCGTAGCGCAGTGCGCCCAAGGGGGCAAATACAATCGATCCAATCCGATGATTAAGAATTAATGAAGTCACTTGCTGGATGTTTTTGTCCACCGCATTATTTCTGGTATCGCTTTCGGTGAGGACGCAGTGTTTGGCTGTGCCATTTCAAATTGGGTGAGACAAATCTTCCATTACGTGAAGTCTGCTACGTAGTATGTACTGCATTCCTTTCTGGAGGGATGCTGCAGAACACGCGAAAGACAGTACTTTCGCATGCACTCAACACATGGCGCGTTCCATATTATGGGTAGCCTGTCACTGGACTGCAGAAACATAAATCAACAACCATGAAGAGAAACATTGAAATGAACGACATTGAATGGACGTCGGCTGTGCACAGGATCCAACTCGAATGGCTGGCAGGCTGTTTCTGGCCATTTTGCAATACGTTGTCCTTTATTCTGACAATACCTGCATCAAGGGGTTCTACTCCAGCATCATTGCCTTGATCCTGCAGCGAATTTGCTGACTCAAAAGCAATCTCAAAGTACAGGCCAGACATGGGTGGCCATCGCCCAGGCTATCGCAACTGACATACAGCGCCTCCTTACGGAATCGCTCCAATTATTGGCACTTTCCCTGCACATTCAACTTGCTATTAGTCTTCGAGAAATTTGGTCACAGAAACGCGATCGTCATCCCAACGTGCACATGCCCAGTCTCCTTGGAGTCTTGATCGAATTGTTCATATTCTTTGTACTCCTAATGGGGAAGCTTGCAAGAGTCTGCCACATGAGGGAGTCCATCAACCGGCAAGTTCCTCATGAGGTCCATCGATTCTTGACGGAGTCGTTCTGATTCTTCATGCTTCCATTGGCAGTGAAGAACCCTCGCCAAATTGTCCCGAGAAAGAGCCACATCAGTTGTTCATACCCCAACAACTTCCGCCTGATTTCCAAGGATTCTCGACTGAGTTGCTCCGATTGTTCGCATTTCCCTCGCGCTTGCAGTATGCCAGCCAAGTCATCGATGGACCTGGCCACATCGAGGTGTCCATCCCCAAACAGCTTCCACTTGATTTCCAATTTGGAACGTTGGTATACAAGCAATCGAGAAATCAAAGCCGCCCTGGTTTCTAGATTGAGTCAATCTGCTCCCCGGCCGGCCAGATCGGGTTCTGGTGACCCTGCTAAGGGCGCCCCGATGCCCAGCGCCAAGAACGGGCAGGCGACGGCGCTGGTCAGGGCGGCCGCCGTTGTGAGACAGCGCCTCGCAAACTAGCTTAGACACGATGGGGCCCACGACCGCGACGACGGACTTGGCCCCCAGCGCATTGTCGGGCTGGTGCCGGTTTGGATAGCTGATGGGATTTGTGATTGGCCAATCACACAACACACCATGTGTTTGTGGCATGGCAGCTGTGCGAACTGGGGAAGAGCTCTGCCTTTGCGGCGTTTTGCAGGCCATGTCTGTCCTCGCTCTTTGCATCGCGGAGGCAAGCACGTCTGGGGCAGTCCAAGGGACCCCTGCTGGCCCCAACCGCCAGTCGGCCCCACCTGGTGCAGGCCCAAGTTCAGACCGGTGTTTCCCGTGAAAAGGCTGACAACTTTCAGTAATGGCATTGTCCCTAGGAATATGGTGTTGTCAATAGTGTGGTGTATGATTTGAAACTTGGAATTGGTGAAGTTGATACCTACGCACTGCATCTTACATTCTTTAAGCCCACTTTGGGGGCATTTCAAGTTCCATATTTCAAAAATTTTCTTCGTCTAGTCCTTTTATTGGGGATCTAGACTGCCTTGGTATCCACGACCCACTATTAGTATCCACCGCTCAATTTGGGGTCCAATGCACGCCTACAAATACCGGGCAAATACGGTATATAATAGTTGAAGACCGCAAACTTTGTTCGGGCCAAATCGCATTCGCAGGGCGCGCGTTTTGCCCCTCCTTGTGGGCATCGTTTTGGAGACTGCAGGGTGTGGTCCGACAGGCGACAATCGAATATTACCTCCCTAGTTTCGGGGCCAAATTGCGCGTGCCATGTCCGCCATTTGAGAACATGTTGAAGACGCGCATTGGCACGTGCGGCGCCGTTACAAACGCCATCACCCGTTTCAATGTCTCCCTCACATATGCGGCACGCGTAGCCGCCGACCACATGGGATTCCACACACGGATTTCGTATGCAAACCGCAACCACATTTGCTTGTGCGGCTTCCTTGCGTGCTCCTCCATATGCAACACGCTTTGGAAAGCTGCCCGGAAGGTCATGGCGTTGCCCGCCTCATTCCACCCTCGTGCATGAGGATGCGATCGAACTCGATCGCGGTCATGCATGCAATTCACCATGTCGATGAGGCGCCTGTGGCTGCGGATGGCAGCGGCGCGGCGATCGCAGCGGCTGCGGCACCGTGCTGACGTGAATGTAGTCTCGATGGCGGTTACCAGTCGCTGCGCAGGCATCACGGCGATCGTCCAAAACGCACTGCCATTTGGCTGCCAGCCGTTCTGGACACATGGGGGCGAATGTAGCTGGGGGCGACCTGCCCATTTTTTGGGTGCCGCGGAATCCAGTACTGGCGGTCCCGGGCACACCTGGGCCACTGATTTCAAATTCTGCGTCTCAGACCAATTCCCCGCCGAATTCGAGCTCTGCTTTGTTGGCAGTCACTAGGAAAAAAAGGGCCAAATAACACGTGTTCAAACGTGTACAAAGTTTACAGGTTTGTGTTATTTTTGTGTTCTTAGCGTGCAGAACTTTGATGAAATGTGTTTTATGTGTGTTTGCAAAAGCGTTATTTGGTCCTTTTTTTCCTAGTGAGTGCACGTGGCACACACGTCCCTGTGCTGTGCAACAATTCGACCTCCTCGAGGATGTTGCCACTGACAGGACTGTCTTCCTTCATTTCTCGTTCAGAAATTAAGAAAGGAGACTGACTTGGAGCCACGCATTATGTTGTGTCATTTGTTGCACACCTGCACATCCTAAAATGCCCGGCATGAGATTCGGACTCACACGTCCGAATATCTCAGCCAGGAGAGCACACCAGGCTATGCTCAACAAAGTACAAGTAAATGGGGGATTCGTTGCCCCTTTTGCCTTGCATGATTGATTCCGTTTCCTTGGATTTCTTCTGATCATTTGCCACAGCCACACTGCCCGACACACTTTTCGTGCAGTGAAGAGCTACACGATGGATTCAGGAATTTAACTGATGCTGGATTTCTTAGGATTCTGGCAACGACTTTCTAATTTCCAAGAAAAGGATACTTCAACTAGCGAAGCCGTTCAAGTCTGTTTGGTCTGATCTTCAAGTTTGCTGCGAGTACGTGTTGTGCAACGCCTCAACGCAGGTGGTCTAGACCGCATTTGCAGCGGTGGGTGTAAAAGAACGTCCATTTAGGCTTGCGTTTTGCCCGCGTCCAAATGCAAATGGAATTTTGAATTACACGTCTGGGTCCTCATTTGAAAATCCGAATATAATGCACACGTTTGGGTATCCGTTTTGTAAACTCAAACACAACGTGCATGCTCGCGTTTACTTTTTGAAAGGTCAAACGCGTTTCCACGTCGACATTGCTACTTTGAAGGATCGAAATCATGAAAGGATTTCGCATTTGTGCTCGCCGCCAGAGCAGCAACTTTGCGCCACAAGCGATTCACTGATGTGTTGCAATGCGGAGCACTTTGCTTGCTTCACTGTTGGTCCAGTGGTTTCGGATAAGATGAGTTGACTAAGTTAGATTTTCAGTCAGCTGTGATTGAATCGGGTGTCAGACATCAAGATCTTTTGAAGTTAAGGCGCCTGGAGGCAGCTGGGCCAAAGCCACGAGTTAGGGAGGCGCTGATTCCCCGCCACAATCCCGCAACTTTCTCTAGTCGCACTGGGAATCTGCAACGAGACTTTGTGCTCCCCGCGGCGGCTGAACCATCACCGCTTTTCACTCCGCTTGGGGGCGCACACATGGTGAACGCGGACTGTGGCAAACTGTGGGATGCCACAAACGAATCCCCCAAGGGATGGCTGCAATCGGCACCAGCCAAGGACCAGAAATGCGGGAGCGGGAGGCTGCGATCGCTCGCCGCTCCGTCGCGTTTTCGAGTAACGATTGGCCTTTGCGCCCGTGCCTTGGGCGCCTCGCAGCGCCCATTTCACCATCACTTTGGTCCCCGCTGCTGCGCGTTGACGTCTTCACAGCTCAAACGTCGGTAGTAGTTTCACTTTTCCGTTTGGGAAGCCTGGACGCCCTGGACACGTTGCCGTTCCCATCACCAAAACCCAAACATACTGTGCACGTTTGTGTCTCCGCTCCATTAGCGTACGCCCATGACAGCGCCTTGTCAGATCTAACTGTTAGTACACAGCCCAGCGCCTCGGCTACAAGCCTGATATCTGGCTAGCATCCTGTCCGGCGTGGTGTGCGGACTTGACATTCGGCATTTGTTCTGCTGTATGGAGTCCCTACCGTCGTCCTTGGATTTTTGCTCCGGCTTTGCTGAAACCTGTCCCTTTCATGTGACCACTTATGCACTTGCATTGGGTGGGGCGTCAACGGGAATGGACCTTCATTCCCACACAATCAACAACGCGAACTGCAGATCGATTCCTTAGCTGTTGGTCTGGAGTGGCGAGGAGCCCATCAAACCTGCCGCGTCTGCATTTGCCACTGCTGCGCTCAACGCTGTAGTCAAACCGGTGGATGGTACCCGCCAAGGCACTGACGAATGTTGAGGAGAGCGCGGACTCGTCCATGCACAAACGTCGTCCTAATTCATTCGTTGCATTTCCACCTGATCAATTGCGCCCCTCGGTGCAATCCACCTTCAAAGAGTCCTCGCTGCGCAGATCAGCACGGACAGAAGCCACAGCAATACACATAACTTTACATACAGGTCCAAGCATACTATTGGCACCCGTCCGATGGCGCCATTGTTGTGGTCAAATTCAGACATTTCTTCCCGTTACATCGACTCAGTAGCAACCCAAGATCGCCAGCGCACACATTGGCAACCACCGAGGCCCCGTGGTCAACAGTCCCCAGCGCGGGGGACAACGAGACACACCTGCAGCGCTGCAGGGGCTGCGTCGACGCCCTGACGCCGTTGCACACCAACGGGGGCTCGGTCCTCCCGCCTCCATGGCCACTCCTATGGAACAAAGTGCAGCGGCGATCAACCGCGCAAACACCAGCGCCAATACAAACAACTCGACCAACACAACACAACTCGACCCCGTTTTCCCCCCACTCAGCAACAATGTGTTCGAATGTTTCCCGTCCCATAAAATACCGAAGCCTGGCGGCCGTCAAACACACACCTACACACACATACACCACGTACTGAGGCAAAACTGCCGCTGGAATCCGCCTGGGCGGCAGCCAAGGGTGGCAACCCTGCCTCCACGAACGACACATACACACGAGCACAGATGAAGCGGACCTAGAATGAATGTGTCTCATCTGTGGCGGGCGACCGCGCTGTGCGGAAAACACACCCAATAAATGAACAAAACCACGCCGATTCGCCGCCATTTTCCACCACATGCACGTGGCTACTCCTCCCAAGCGAATGTCACTGTTGAAGCCACGCAGACAGCTCGCGGCGACTCCAGACGCCGCGAACAGCGATAAGACACCACGGGCTACCCAGCACCCTGACATGTTCCCTTGGCTACGGCCTACGACTTATTTCTGTGAGCAATCCCCACACCGAACGGCCTGCACCGCCGCCTCGGAGATGGAGAGCAACACAGCCCCGACCGCTGACTCCTCCAGGAGTTCAGCCCCTGCCCTCTTCACGAGGGCGGCTGTCCTAAGCATGAGTGCATCCAACGTGCCATCTCTCCCGTTTCAACTGTTCCAAAGGCCCAGATGCAGTGAGCGACCCACTCACAAAATACCACACCCAAACACCGCCAACAAACACTGTGCCACCGAAACCCGGCGCCTCGTCCCCATCAGACCACCACCTCCCCCTCCCCTCACCTCCTTCTCTTCCTCCTCGCAAATAATGGGGACGGCCTCAAAAAATAAATCAATCCAATCCAAAAAGTTATTCCTGGTGAACAACCGTTTCCAACGGCCTGTACCTTGCGCGGTTCCCCTCGCTCACCCGTCCCCCCCTCCCCATCTAGCCTGCCGTCTGTATGGGTTTCCAGCCATTCATTTTCTGGTAGTCTTCAGATGTTCTCCCCCTCCTTCGTCGATTCCTTCCAGTCCGTTTCGCGGCTCCTGCCGCCTGTTTTCCTGATCACGCCCCACCGCCGCCCCTCACCCCCCTCCGATCACCATCATCGGCCGTATCGCCCACCAGTATCGATTGCCGTATCGCCTAAGTAACATCCGCCGTATCTCCCACCAGTACCCTCCGCTGTTTCGCTACCGTATCAACCGTATTTGCCAGTACCGTTCACCAGTATCGTCTGGCGTATCGCTACCGTATCGACCATATTGTCAATGCCGTCCGGCCTTCAGTTCCGCCGACAGGCGCTTGAGGATGGTCGCCAGCTGGGCGGACACGGACTGCTTGTCTGCGTCGTGGCCGCCCGCCCTCCCCTTGGTCCCACTGGCCCGGGCCCCGAGGCCCCTCTGGGGCCTCGCCATGAACATGGCGGCACCTGGGTCACCATGAGACGCCTTCATAGCTATGGACCGCAGGCTCCTGTCAGACGCCCGTACGGCCCCCGACCCCCCTACGGGCTTGCAGCACTCCACGGACATCGACAAGTCTCCGGATCCGGACCCCTTTCTGACGTCATCAGGCAAGGCCATGTCCGGGCATGACGTGCTGCGCCGCGCGGACCGGCCGTACATTATGAGCAGGTCCACCGAGCCGCTGGACCCGCTGGACCCGCTGGACCGGGACTTGCTCCTGTTGGTGGGTGGCCGCCGGCCGGGGCCCCGGGAGCCCTTGATCGGGGTGCGCGGCGTGGCCCGCGGCGGCCTGTGGGCGACCTTCTTCGCGGATTGCTCGGTCGACTTGGGGGTCAGCCCTTCCAACCTGGAGCAGGCCAAGAACATCTTTTCAGAGAAAGTGAAATCGCGCGCAAATGAGCGCTATCCTCCCGAACAACCTGTTCCCCGCGTGGCGTTCACCGCAATCCAGCAAATGGTGCCTTCGCACGCAGCTCAGGACCGCACGAACGGCAGGGCACCGCCTGCGGCAAACTGCGAGACGCCATCGCCGAAGGAGGTCCGAAGGTGGCTTCGCCGGAAAGGAGAGAGCGTCGCACACTGTGCTCCCACACTAATGGACCAGAACCTTCCCCTGGCACCGCACCCCAACAACAGAAGACGACAAGAATTGACACGACACGACAACAACCGACGGCAGACGCCAAATGCTCTCTCCGCGCACGACGCCTCGGCCACGCACGGCACACAACCTTTCACGTTGCCTGTAAGGATGTTCGTTCACGCACGGCCCGCGCACCTGGAGCTCTCATCCCCCGCGGTGGCCTTCACCAGATCCAGGCCGTCCACCTCCGCCACCACCCGTAGCCTGTCGCCATCCGAAATCCCCCCATCCGCCCTGCCCGCCGTCCGCGCGCCGCCGCACACCAGGGCCCCGAGGGCCGACGACAGCGCCCGGCCCCACCGCGGACCCCCGCTCTTCTTGGGCGACCGATCCGCCCTCTTAAAAAATTCGCCCGAGCGCACCGCCGGCCGCACGTCCAGCACAAGCGCGCTCGTGTCGTCCGGCAGGCTGCCGTCGCAGCGGGCCTGCGCCGCAGAGATCAGGGCGTCCGCGGCGTGCGCCGCGGGCGCCTTGCGGGTGACCAGGGCGGCGTCCTCCCACTGGATGTAGTCCCAGAGGCTGTCCGAGGCCATCGTCAACCGCGCTCCGGCGTTGGGCAGCACCGCCTGGAGGCCGGGGGAACAAGAGGTGGGGTTTACGCGCCCGCCAGCAAACCGCTTTGCTCCCAAGCGCGAACGTGCGCAGCTGACGTCTGGGCCCATGGCGCAACCACACCTGGCGTCCGAGCGCGATCCACGATTTTTCCACTCCGCCGTTCTTTCCGGAAATTGCGACAAACGAGCGAAGTTCCTGATGGGTTTTGCAGAAATTGCTGCAAATAAAAGAACTGAAAAATCGTGAACACAATTGTACCATTGCGTGTGGGACTGCCATAAATTTCCGAACCGCACGAGGCACAACCAACCGGTTGAATCTCCGTCCCGCTAGGTGGCTTTCAGCGAATCCATCTTGATATTGTATCCGCACAAGCACTGTTAGAGGTTTATGAATGGATTTCGTCACGCCAGTTCGTGGCACACTGACGTGAACAGACTTCGGCGTGTACAAAAGAGGAACAATACCTAGGAGCGCACATTAGCAAGCGTCACCATGAAAGTGTCGACGACCGTCAATTTCCTTGGGTTTTCTGCCGCCCTATCACGCTGTTCAACTGGGGCGTCGTGCTCACAAAGGACCTTGGGACGCCGGCCACAGCCGATTGGATTCCTTGGCGTAAAACTGCAGGGCTCTTTTGTCACGGCTTTTCTGACATCCGCAGTCCATAGATTTTCCACAATTGTGAAAAGATCACAAAGCACTGGCCTTCCCCAACTGAGCGATGTCTGGAATAACGCACAACGGAGTCATTACCCACCTGGAAGATATGAGGGCAAGATATGATGTGATCCCCAGCCTGGATGTCTCCGATGGACCTTGCAACGGACTGCCCTCCCGGCCAGCATCTCAGCGGGCCGATGCCCCTGTCTCCCGGGACCACCACCCCCTTAAGTATACACGAGAGGGGAACCAGCTGCACACCACCCTCCTTCAGCCTCTCGCGCTCGGTCTCGTTAGTCTCGATCTTGTGGTTGACGGTCGTCAGGACGGTCTCAAGCCCAGTGTCCAAAACAGCGTCGCTGTCTCCCACGTTAGCCACGGTGAGCAGGCTTCCACACAGCAGGGCCATGGTCACCGTCGTTCCTGCAATTGCAGCAGAAAGAAATTTCACTGCGAAGTCCGTCAGCGCAAATGGGCCGCTGCACACAATTTCGCAAATGCAATGCACAACCAGGGCACATATGGACCAAATTACGCAACATTGTAAAAGCAATAATGCACCGACCGCTGCCCATCCACTTTTTCTCTTGCATTCCTTAGTACGCTGTCATGTCTTTCACAGTAAATAATGTACACAGCTGCGGTCGAGTCTGCATTCCCTTTTCAGGGGGTTTCGGAGGGGGAGCTGACTGATGCTATGGAACAGGGATGTGGATAAATTTGTGCCTTTCATCGCACCGAAAGTGCAAGGGCGCTGGACCTCCGCATGCCAGCAATCATCAAACAGCGTCATCCAATTATCCGAATTTGGCAAAATGTACTTCGCTCTGTTCTGCACTCCCTGTACGTTCTCTTTAGCAGTTCCCATTTCTGATTTTTGCGACAACAATTGCAACACAATATTGCTTCAAAACAAAATGGAAAACGAACTGAAAAACTACGAGCTTCATGACAGAGAAATGGCTCATGAACTTATCTGTGCGCAATGCCACATGAAACATGGGTAAGTTTGTCTCCACAGCATGAGGCAGTCATGTGGCAAACAGCCTAAAATGCACTGTTTTGAATTTCTGTGGCAGGATACGTATGGCATATCCAACAAGGCATGAGCAGAGACTCGATACCCATTATCGGAACATGGCCAGGATATGAAGGGAATGTTCAGACAGTCATCTCACTGTTATGCTGATTCGCATTTTCGTCACCATGTCCTGCCAAGCATACAGCATGAGGCTTGTATGAACCTCTCGTCCTATGCGTCAATTGAAGGATTGCAATTCACATTTGTGTGCTTCCCAGAGTTGCATGCACCCTTGCAGCTTAATATGTTGAGCAGCGCACATCTCAGAAATTGCACCACTGTGTCCTGATAGTTATATTTTCAAAGTATGCCATAATGTTCGAAGATTTCTTAACGCTGGTAGAGTGGCATACACGCAGACCAATGGGCAGTTCTTGCTTATCAAGGCATGTGAAAGCCCAAGCTACTGTACAACAGCAAGGAATCATGGGGCAGCTCTGATATTTTGCATCACAGCAGAATTTCGGTTTTGAGAATTTCGTTTCAAAAGAAACACACTGAGTCGTACCAATTCCAAGGACACCGCAAAACTAGCAGCAGAAAAGTGATGTGTCAAAAAGCACAAAGTCATCCACAAGCAAAGGGCTCCAGCTATGCAAAGCCATACGATCAGCAGTAGTTCCTTTCTGTATCAGAGCAGTCTCAAAAAGCACAATCTTCTCAACAGTGGCGCTGCAGAACACATAAACCATGTGGCGCTTTTGTTCTTGTCTCAATGAAGGTGTATCTTGGATTATTTTATACCTACCAGATATTTCATTGCAAGCTTCATTCTTGAACTGTTTGCCAAGGTTCACAAATGCTGTGGCCACTGCACTTCGGACCTCTGCCGCAAACGCAGGAGAATCTGCAAACAAAAGCCAGCAGAACACATTCCCAGCAACGTCATTAGCCCCTGTCATCCCCAGATGTCATAATGTTGCTGGAAACCGATGCAGTAAACGACAACACATCTTGCTGGGGGACTACCCAAGGAATACGCTGGAGACAGAGACATTTTGGCTGCTTGTCCACTCCCCCTCTTCTGCGATGGCACTGGCAGGGCAGACGACAACATGCAACATCACAATAGCAGTGTTGGCATGTTCTATATACAAAGCAACACTTGTAAACATGCCAGCAACCTAAAGTCGCTGCAACGATGTCTGGACAGATGGATCCCATCACCAGTCCCTGCGTTTCACAAGATGGCCGACAACCAAACTGGTCTTGTTCTCAAGCCTACAACAGTGACCAGCCACGCCTCTTAAAGGCAATCGTTGCCCATGTCGTCACTGTTGACAGAGGATAGTCCATGGGGTAGTTACAATTGTAAGGTACCAGTCGTGTGCCCCTCAGATGTATAGCGCAAAAATGTGGATTTCTAACTGTGAGTGCTCAAACAGTGCCAAATAATTGAAATCGTACATTGGTAATGCAGCACAGAGTTAGGTATTCTAGTTCGTGGTGCAATTCCAACCCAAACTGTGTCTGCTGGCAACTACTCACACACTTCCCCAGCATGCAGATGTTCCATAGTGTGCAATTCCCACACGTGGGCTAGACAGCCACGACCCTGCAGGGTGCTGGGCACCAAGGGCTTGGACCCCAGGTTGCAGACATCGACCACAGAGCAGTCTTGCAGTCGACCAGTCATTCAGAAAATATTCATTCATGGAATATATGTTCTCCAGTGACCACCCACATGTGCCACTGTGGCAAACTGCAAATGCCCATATGTGCACCAATGCCCTTTCGAACATGTGTAGAAGATGTGGTACTGAGTACATTGACATTGTGCCCTCTTGGACCAGGGTGCTGTTCACGTTGATGACCAATGGGGAGAGCGTTTGTCTATTCTGACAGACACGTGCAAAGCACAACGTCACCAACCATACGACCACGTGGTATATTGCATAGGGAGACGATGAAGATGGAGTGATCTGAAGTTCCAATTTTTTGACAAGAGGTGTGGTCTCCAGTCAGTTGCTGCAGCTTATGTAGCGCAAAGAGAGGAATAGCTGCAACATGTTTGATAAAAAACGACACCCACATTAAAGAAAACGTCCACCAGCAGTACACTTGCCTGACAAGACCCTTTGGAATTTACAAAAGCACCTCAAAAGTGCTCAAAGAGATCCTTTGCAGAATGCCACAGCATTTTTTCACCCACGATGAAGCCCTTTGGCCAGCTCTAATGGCTTCTCATGTGTGGCAAGTGAGCAAAATGTATGTCATTGACCAATATAACGAGCGAGCCCACGGCCCCCCCTTGCCTTGTTTTGAACATGTCCCACCTAATTGTGACTTTGTTCTGTTGACGATAGGTCCGCGCACAATGCCCCGCCAAGGCAAACTACTGCCTTGTGCTCTGCCACCGAACCACTTTCCTGCACGACGGGGATCTTCACACTGCGCCCCTTTACATAACCCGCGGCAGCGTTTTATAAGCACCCCACCGCATTGACTGTAATACGAGGTTCTCAAGCGCAACCTCACACACACACCCCAGCGCACAACCTGGGGCACCCCCAAGATGATCTCCGCCGCACGATTCCCCGTCCACCCCAAATCCCTCACGAAATCTGGGCGCCAAGCGGCCACCCACATACTTGTGGTTTCGTTACCACCCAAAATCGGCTTAGTCATGTGTACGGTGAGAGATCCCCTCACTACCCTCCACAAGCTTGAGCACAAGGAAATCAGCACGGGCGCGCGGTGCCCCCTGCACCCCGCCCCTCACCTTGGCCGCCGCAGTCGAGTTTGACGCGTTTGGGCAGCGACTGGCCCAGCTCCCTCCACAGGTGCCGCCTGACATACTTTGCCGCCAGTGAGCCCGCGTGGCCGTCGCAGAGGCAGTACACGGACCACGCCGGGCCGCCGGGATCAACGGCGAGGCCCTCCCGCACGAACAGCACGTCCTGCGCACCGGGCAGGAATGGGCAAAGGTTCACAGCCGGCCGCGGATGCGCTGACAAAGGCTGCAGGCTGAGGGATTGGCCAGCCGCCGACGCCAGGCGCCACGACTGACATGCCACTGAGGGGGGGGGGGAGGATAGGGGTGCAATGAGGGAAGCCGGGGGGATAGGCGGCGAGTGATTTCGAGGCAGCGCAGGATGGGAGCGGAGGGTTGGCGTCGGGGCTACGGCGGAGCAAGAGCCGGGGCGCATCCAAGAATCGGATGCGCAGCTGCCAAAAATAGAAATCCGGATTGGTGCATGCCAGAAGGCACCGGTCCCTGCAGAATCGAACGCCGCAGGGCGGCGCGCCCGCGGTGGGGCCCGGGGCGCGAGCCGGCGCCGGGAGCGCGAGGCAGCCCCGGGCATTCGGCCACCGGCCGCCGCACGGTCGTCGACCGGCGGAGATCGCCCCCCCACCCATCCATCCACACACACACACACACACACACACTCCTCACCTCATCCTTCACGCGCTTCTGGCACACCGAGTACTTCGTCGCGGGCCAGGCCTCCATCGACGGGCTGCGGCATCTGGACTGCGGCCGCCCGGCCTCCCCGCCGCCCTCCTCCGCCACCTGCTCCAGTGGACGCCGTCCCTTGACCGGGGTGCCCATCTGGACCCCTGCGCCACGCCAGTCCACGATCTTCACATCCGCCCAACCGGCGCGACGATCTGGGCGGCGCGCTCGCCCGAGATTGCCCCCCGCCCGTTCCGCACGCCTTTCTTCCCCCTCCCGGGACGCGGAAATATTCAGCGCGCATTCGCCTCACCTCCAGATCGCCCGGTCCCGGTTGCCAGTCCAGTGCCTCCGGTCGCTTCGCCGGAACCCTCCGGTCGAGCGAGGCGGGCGCGCCGGCTGGACGGGCTCCAGGTCGTTTCCCCGCACCGCCGTGGTGGCCTCGCCCCGTGGATGGCTGCGGTTGGCTGATGGCTGAGATAGGATGAAATCTGGGGGAGGCCGGGGGGGGGGGGGGGTGTGATGGCAGGTGCGGCGGGCATGGGCATCGTCACGCGCCGTGTGCATGCCAACAAGGGCAACATCAGGCTGATCGGCTGAGATCAGCCCGTCAAATGGGGAGCCAGTGCGCGGCAGGGACAACCTTGGGGGCAGGGCCTGGGGCCCCGCAGACGTCGTGATGGCTGTGGGCGTCGCTTTGAGGCCATCACGTCCCCCAGGCGGCCCAGAGGCAGCAGGCATGTACAGCGGAGGCCCACCTGCATGGCAGTCAGGTGCGCAGGAGAATCAGGGCGGCGCATCTCGGTTGGGGCTGGGGTCGGGCGCCGTGGGGCGGAGACTGTAGAGTGCGCCGCGTGAGGCGGCGGGACGGCCTGGTGGCGTTAGGAGGGGGCAACGTTGATCTGCAGGAAATAGATATGCGTCCCGATTTTTTATTAATTGGAGGGCGGCGCACGTCGAGCAGTGCAGCTTCTTCCGTTGGAAATGTGCACTAGACATATGTGGAGATCTCTGGGCGAGTACGTCGCTGGCGACACCTCCCCCGCAGACTCGCGAGCAGCATATGCGTCGCACATGTGCAAGATGCGGCCCGTGCCCGAGGCCTGCATTGCCATGTGAGAGCAGCCAGAGGGACAAATTGGGCACCTTGCACGCCGGCGCCCTGCGAGCACCGCGTCAAAGGCCAATGGGATGAACTGGCCAACCAGAGACAAGCGTCAGGATGTTGCATGTTGGCTGACAGGGTAATGAATGGATTGGGATGGCCTACGCCTTACTTGGGGTAAGCCGTGGGGCCCCTGGTTGGGTGGGGCCAGCTGGATGGCGGCACGTCGAGCATCTCTACCAAAGGTACCCGGATCGATCCAATCCCGAACGTCTTCTTGAACATCCTCACTACCACGGTGTTTGTGAGTGGGGGCATTGCATGCAGGACGTGTCCCGTCCCTTCGTCTGTATGTTGCACCTGCCTTCCGACTGGAAATCCACCATCCGCATTTCCACTGGATGGCCCAAATGCAGCATTGTTCCAAAGATCGCTTTGGCGGACCAGGAATACATGCACTGGGGGTTTTCCAAGCGTTTGGGCTTTGGACGTTGGTGGGCAGAACACCGGCACTTTTTACCCCTTCCAGGGCTCCAGCCCCTTCTCACTTCGATTCACTTCGACTCGCCCCCCATTCCGCCTCGATTCACGGTGGCACTTCCCTCTCGGCCGCCTGGGGCCCTCTTCCAAGATTCGGTGGCTCCCGGGCGTTTGTGGGGTGGGGGGGGGAGGCGATTGGGGCCCAGCAGGGATGGAGAGACGTACCACTTTGCGCCTGCCTATATCACCACACCACTGCGTCAGAATGCCATTGCCCGTCGCATGTGCGACGTACATTGCTGTGCATGTATCCGCTGAAGCGACAAATTGCTCGGAACGGAATTCCTCGCCTGTCGCAATACCCTCGCCGTCCGACGCTTGTCGGTGTTGTCGCGGGCGTGCAGGAGACGGACAGTTAGGATCAGCGCTGAGGCTGTAATGTCCCTGTCGCGATTCCTCACAACAGGCATGTTGCGCCGGACACTTGACCGCCCAAGATTCATTCGCACAACTCAGGCATACCCACCGTGCACATGCATACACACAGTGATACGTCTCAGATTTGATCCATTCCTTTTGCAAGCCGGTCCCGCACTCACAAGTCCTGACGGATGCTCATGCGCCAGTTCCGCCACATCATGTTCACCGTGTCGGTCGCCCACCCAGTCCCAACGACGCACCATACATTGGTCCGTAAACACATGCATACACACAGCCATCCTAGAATTACATCAGTTGAGGTTCAGTTGAGGTTCGAAGCCACACAAGTCCCCGCCACAGCCATCGCCACCAATTCCCGGCGTTCATTCTTATTTGCTTATTTCTGTCACCAAACACCATTTCAATCTCCTCTTGAGCAGCCAGGCCATATAGTACACTACTGCGAATCCCTCAGTGCTCCAGTCTCCTCTAGTGCACGTCACGTCGCGTAAAATCAACCCTCGCCTCTGCTCCCCGCTCTACCAGCGCTTCATGGGATTCAGGCGACCCAACTCGCCAGGCTTCCCGGGCCCACGCAATAAATATTCTTCAGCTTCCTCGATTTTTCCGATTTTGATTGAAACCCTTTTTCCTCGACCTCCCGATTTCGCTCGATTTTCTCATTATCGTTCAACTCCCTCGAAAGCGTGGACATCGTCCCCAGCATTCAAACAGCCAGGGTGTATCTTTTCCATTGGCGTTCCGTGAGTTTAATGAATAATGAATATCGTTTGTCCATTTTCCCGGTACACAAAGTGGCTGCAGTATGGGGCCCACTCCTGCGCCGCCACGTCAAGCAAAGAAAAAATTGTCGAGTGGTCAAGCCAGCCATGGCGATTCCGTCCACACCATCATCCGCACTGCTGGCGGACACTCTTCCCAAGCCCTTGGGAGAAGATGGCAGGGGATACACAAGCTCGTGGCCGCTTCCAGATGTGCGTTGTCGCAAAGCCGCACCCTGAGCTGCGGGCTCCAGGCTACCGCCAATCCCTTCCGCGTCACAGACTCGATTTATTGAACCATGGGTGCTCGCGAAAGCGCCCAGCACGCCACCGGCGGCCACCGTCGCCTCCCCAATATTAGCGTCTCCTGTTCTCCCACTCGCCCACAGTATTATAGTCTCCAGTTCTCCCGCTTCCCCACAATATCACGGTTTGCAGTTCGTCTCCCACTTCGCCCCCACGACGAATCTCCCTCTCGGCTCCCACAGTTCGTCTCCCAAGCAGGGGCCCTCACCACGCCCCGGTCTTGCACCGCTGGCTGCCGCTGCGCAGCTGCGCCCCCTGGGCCGGCGCCTCGCACGCCCTCCGCTCCGGCGAGAACTCGCACGACAGCCTCTTAAGTATTGTGGCCAGCTGAAACAGCGCCGTCGCTTTCTTGCCCCCGCCGGCCTGGCTCCCGGCCTGGCCGCCCGCCACGGGCGATTTGTACAGGAAGGAGAAGGGGCGGTCGCCGTTGGAGGCCTTGAGGGCGATGGACTGCAGGCTGTGGCTGGAGGAGCGGGTGGGCCTCTTGGCCCGCGCGCCCCGCCGCGGGTCGGCCCTGATCGACTCGTCGGAGGAGGTGGGCGAGGAGCCCGCGGAGTCGTGGGCCCGCCGGGCGCCCGGCCAGTGTGGGGAACCGCCCGAGGCCACCACCACCCGGTCGTCCAGGCTCAGCCCCAGTTCCGCGGAACCCGTTCCCACAATCTTTCCGGTGTCGAACGACAGAGCGGAATCTCCAACCGGCCGCCACTCGGACGATCGGCCGCGCGCCAGCTCCCTTCCGCATTCCCGTCTGCGCTTGCACGCGTCCGTTTCCGAATCCGCCGCCTCCAGCCCGTCCGCGGTCGCCACGACCCTCAGTTTGTCGAACGCACAGGCGTCGGCGGTCGGCCTCTGGGCCCCGCAGACGCAAGAGTAGAGGGACAGGCCCCTGCCCCACCGCCTGCCATCCGCCCCGCCCGCCCTCTCCTTCACCACCTTCGAGAAGTCCCCGCGCCTGCCCGGGATGAGGTCCAGCACCAGGGCGCTGGCGTCCTCGGGCAGGGGGCCGTTGCATCGGCGGGCGGCCTCGTTGACGACCGCGGCGGCGGCGTGGCCGATGGCGGAGGACCGGGCCAGGCGCGCGGCGTCCTCCCAGTGGAGCGAGTCCCACACGCCGTCGGAGGCCATTGTGAGGCGGGCGCCGGTGAGGGGCACGATGGCCTGCGGACGGAGAGGAATGGCCGTCTAAAAGTCGCTCAACCGACCAACAGGTTTGACCCCCAAAATGCACGGGAAAACTTGCTTTATCATCAACACAAGTCGTCTTCGTGTCTTGCAAGACAAGGCTTCAAGCGCGAATTTCGGGGCACAGATGGACATCGCAAGCGCGCCTCACCAGGCAGGCACGCGCGGGGTGGATGCCTGCGCACACCTGCGGTGGAGGACAGGGCAATAGTCCGCTGCTTGCAGCGCAGACTTTAGTCTGGCTCAATGCAGGAAATATGGCCAATCCGCGATTCCACATGGCCGCTTCTCCGTACTTTCACGGGACTCAGGGGTGCAGCCAAACAGGCGTGTTTCGCAAATTTCAGGCAAGCGTTACCTGAAAGACGTGAGGGCAAGGCAGGATGCTCTCGCCGGCCTTGATGTCGCCTATCGACCTTGACACCGCCTGACCCCCGGGCCAGCACCGCAGGGGTCCCACCCCCCGCTCCCCGGCCACCACCGTCCCTTTCATGATGGAAGTCAGGTGCACCAGGTCCACGCCGGCGTCGGTCAGGCGCTCGCGCTCCGCGTAATTAGTTTGAATTTTGTGGTTGACGGTCGTCAGAAAGGCGTCGTCGCCGGTGTCCAGGATGGCGTCGGAGTCGCCGACGTTGGCCACCGTCAGCAGTCTCCCGCACAGCAGGGCTACGGTAAGAGTCGTTCCTGCAGCGGACGGCAGCGCGCAGCAGTCAGATGGCGAAGCGGCGAAAGCCGAGGGATGGGCGTGGAAGATTGCTTGAAAGCTTACGTTGGGCAGCACGCAGCCAGGGCAAATGGTAGGGGAGTACTTGAAAGACATGAAGAATTTTTTGAACGCACACAACTTTTCGAAAAGCCAGCAGCCAAACGAATATGGGGCTCCATGCGTTTTCGCAGGACCGCGCTCGTGACGTCTGGGCAGGTCATTGGCAGTGCTTTGTCATGCTCTGCAGATACAACAGTGAAACAATCTACAATCTATGCACAGTAAGCGAACATACAATCCGCAACAACACAAGTTTTTCTTCATTGTCACATTGCTAATCGTATATCGCTACTACTATATTTATATTTAACAGAGAAAGAATGTTTGCCAAACAATCCAGAGATTGATTTTTTGTTTCAGTTGAGCATCGGATACACTTGGGTTGCAACAGTTGGGTGCACTTGCCAAATGGACTTCCACAGCGCTTGGGCAGCGCTCAAGCCATACCACGAGGCTGTATGACACTGCAGGATATTGAACCACGCATTTGTCCTAATCACCACAGGCGCAGTCCCCCAACAGAGTATTGGGCGAGGGTGCGCCGGTCCAGAATACAGGTGATACAAAAATCCACACCATAATATTGGTACATGTGAAACTGCCGCAGATCTACACTTTGGAATTCTGAGGTATTTCTCAAGCGAGAATACACCCAGGACAACATTCGCAATGGGATATTCTTCACCATAGCTGGAACGCTGGGTGAACGACAGGCGAAACCCAAAAATATATGGATGGGAAATAGGGTCTGCAATCTCTCACAACACGGCAGGTGAAGCTATGTGCAAACCTACCGGAAACTTCATCAGAGCATTCAATTCCAAATTGTTCATTGATTTTTGCAAATGTAGTGATGATTGATCCACGCAGGTCCGCTGCAAATGCCCGGAAATCTGCAGAAACCAAATCAAGAACAAATTAGCCACCGCATTCCCCACAATGTAGAACTCCAGATAAGTCAGCAAAAATATCGGGAAGCAGCGCAGAATCTGCAAGAACAGGTGCGACCACAACGCGGGCCTGCATCTTGATGTTAGTCAGGGAGACAGGCTGATGCAGTGTAACAAGCGAATAAGTAAGAGAGCATATTGCAGCTGCTGTTGTGCAGGAAAAGCTTCACCCATGGTTGATCAACAAAGCAATGCATTCAAAGCATGCACTCATTTTGACTTTTCCCGCCATTACTATCTGCTGGTCCGTTTAACCATGTTTCTGGGTTTGCACGAATTTGCAACCGGCCTGCCGCGCCACCGGATTGTTCACATTCGCTGCCATGGCCATCGATATGTTAAGCAACAGTCCACAACCAGGTCTATCAATGGCTGAAAATGCAGCTACTCTCACGCTCAAGTGTTGCGCACATGCAGTTTGAGCCACTGCCGTGGCTGTAACCGCATTCCCGGACTCGCCAGAAGCTACAGCGACGCCGTGTTGGCTAGCCCTGGCTGCTCCAGGACCGCATTTGCCCAAAATGGTGTGCACTATCTGCCTTGTTCGACTGGGCTGCCGTCAGGACTGGGGCCATCCAACCACCCTCCAGGTCCTTGTGCACCACAGTCTTTTTGCTACTTCGTGCTTGCGCCTCCGCCAGTCTTCCGACTACTTCGCGTTTTCCCCTCCCACAGTCTGCTTGCCACTTCGTGCACCACAAACCCCCAACCCACACTACAGAAAGAAAAGGCTGGTCTCGGCTGTAAGGTGGACCGAAGGCATGAAATTAGTCGCTTTGCCTTTTCCGCGATCCCTTCTTGCTTCGGACACCCAAAACCCTAAACTGCTCACCCTCTGACTGGCGTTGGCCTTGTCAGCGGACGAAGAAGGGGTGTTCACGGAAACGACAGGGGGACTGGATGTATTCTGCAGGTCGAGCAGGCAGGTAGGGCGGGGGACCTTCGTCGAAGGGAATTGAGAATGACGAGCAGTCGCCCGAGATGCTCACGAAATTGCGAATCTGTGTGCTGCACCGCCGTCACTCCGCGATCCGCGTGACAGTCCCACGTCACTCGAATCGAAACTATCGACAGCCAGATTTACGGAACCCCAGGCGTCCCCCGGGTTGTGCACAGCCGCATCGCCGCGCCCCACCGCGCGACAGTACATCGATAGTACATTGAGCGTTATTACGCGGCACGCTTGGCAGATCCCCGTGCCCGTCCATGTCTGACTGCACGGAGATCTGCACTGGCGCAGGGCGGCCGGCGGAGCGGCGCCTCGGTGACCCCAGTGCGGTCGGATGTCTGGTCACCTGGGCCGTCGTAGTCCGGTGGGGCCGCCCGCGGCAGGCAGGGCGCCAGCTCCCTCCAGAGGTTGCGCCTGACGAACTTGGCGGCCGCGCCGCCGCCGTGGCCGTCGCACAAGCAGTACAGAGACCAGGGGGGGCCTTCGGATACCGCCGTCTGCGCCTCGCGAACGAAGATCACGTCCTGGGCACGGGGGCACGGAAATCGACGCGGCGTCAGCTCGCCCGTGAGGTTCAGCGGCCGCGAGCTTTCGTCCGGCGGCGGTGTTTGGCCGGCGCGGCGAACGGCATCAGCGTCAGTGTTTCTGCGTCAGTGTCGGCGCCGGCGGTCCGTGGAGAGAAGGGGCAACTCATTGCCCTGACTTGGCCGTCGTCGCCGCGCGAGCGCGGGGTTTAGGGGGGAGGAGTGCGAGTCGATGGATTCAGGGCGGGCGCGGTGCCTGGGGAGATGGCGAAGGAGTGGATCGACTCGGCGAGTTCGCGAGAGCTCTGGGTGGCGCTCGTCCACGTGGACGGACGACAGCGGCGCGGGCGCGCGGTATGTTGTGCGCGATCACGACGGCGGCAGGGCGCGCAAGTTGGGGATCGCGCGCCATTCGTCGGTAGGAGAGGCGCGTTGCTGGAGCTTTCCAGCCGCGGGTGTCCCCAACACGGTCACCCCCTCCGCCCATGCCTCGCAAAGCGTCGGGCTCGACAGCCCCCGGCCGGGAGCCCGCCGGGCGCACCTCATCCTTCACCCTCCTCTGGCACACCGAGTACTTGGCCCGCGGCTCCTCTAGGGACGATCCGCGTCCGCGCGCGGACACCGGCGCCGGCCGCGCCTCCCCCGCCGCCTCCCCCCTCGACTCCCGAGCGACCACGTGGCTCGGCATGCCGCCACCTGGACACAACCACAATCACCCGGCACCCCATCAAGCGTCATCCTCCGCCTGCCCCTTCCGCTGGGGCGGATCCCCACGGCTTGCCATGGCCGCGGCACATCGGCCACGCCGCCGCGGATCGGGAACCAATTTGCCACGCGGCCCCGTGCTGCCACAAGCAGCGCTCACCCGCGGTGGAGGGGCGCTCCTGGGCGCGGGGGGCGCCCTCGTGTTGGTTGCGCGATGATCGACCCGTGGATGTGCCAGGAGGCGCAGCCACTAAAGGCAGCTGACGGCGCCGTGCCTGGCCAAGCTGCGCTCGGGCGTTTCTGGGCCGTCGCGGGCCAGCACGGTAAAGCTGGGGCCAAGGCAAGGGCGGAGGCGTAAGGGGCCAGGGGGTAGGGTAGGGCAGGCCGCGGGCACGTCATGGGGCTGGGGACCGAAACTGGATGGCGGGATCTGTGTGAGAGAGTCAACGAGCGGCGTTGACGGCGGTGGTGTACGCGGGGCGTGGTGTTTGGGGATGACCGCTGGTCGTACTTTGAGATGAATCCCTGTTGCATGTACCCCTGTCGTGCCGGTCGTTGGCGGAAGGGGCTGAGCAGACCATTGCCGTCGCCTGGCAGGACGAATTTCTGTGTGCCGCTCCAGGTATTGTTGTAACTAGAACTGATTGGGTACTATTAACAACTGAATGCATGAAGAGACGATGGAAGCTGACGGCTACCTCATTGCCTTGTTCTGTAAAAAATGATGATGATGATGATGAAGAGACGATGAGGCACTAGGAATTGCGTTAAGAACATTAATGAACGGATTGAATATAATGGATATAACTCATGTTGTCCCTTTGCCTCGGCTGTAAACCATTGCCGTGGACTCAAGCCCACGTTCCCCATTCAGGGATTGCCACCCCTCAATCCTGAGGCAAGGGGTATGTGAGTCGAAACATAGATCAGGTTTGCTCGTCACAACTTGGAGCCGGCTCAGCACCGAGAGCACTAGAGTTTTACATTGCCTAAATGACTTATCCACAAACTTTAAAGGATCAACGATTCAAGATATTCATCAAGCAATCGGCTGTGACAGGACTCCAACGACTTGAAGTCCACTTTGAGTGACCCTTCTAGAGTGTTCCAACAAGAGCGCAATGAGCAATCAGTTGTCGCAAGGCGTGTAGTTGAGTTGGGTGTCAATATTTCTATCGTTGATCTGACTACAGTGCGAATTATACATTGCAAGCAAGTCCAATGGGTAGCACAACAATGTGTCGTTAGGGCGCCGTGGTAGAGTGACCAAGTCACCGCACAAGGGATCAGTTTGTTGATCGATTGCACCTCCTCCGAGGGTTGGCAAGTAGTGGATAACTCTCATGGCACGGTCCCCCCTTGGCCACGTCTAGGTACCCTGGCCTACACGTTAGGGTCTCTCATGTAAAAGCGCGTTCATCTTTGGTTGGATGCCATGTCTCGGGCTCTCTCTGGCCTGTGGGTGATAGCCTCTCTACGTGGTTCCATCCAAGGTGTGCGGCTACTGCTATTGCATCACCCCACAAGGCAAGCAAAGGGGGTGCCACCATGGGGCGTGCGCCCAGGACCGCACAGGTTGGGGCAAAGGCAATTTGACAA